GAAAATTTTTCAAAGTTAAAAATATTGAATATGAAACCAACTAAACCCTTAACTGCCCGCGAGCAAGTCCAAGTAGACCACTTTTTAACCCAATTTGGCTTTAAGCCCAAAGAGGATGAATAATTATGACTAAATACGAGCAACTAATTAACAAAATCTGAAAAATAAAAATCTCAAAAGAACTCAAAGACAATCCTTACCCTGATTATAATGTGGGTATTCTTAGTCAAACTGAATTAATGATAATAGCAGATGCCTTAGTAACATTTCAATTTTTAGAAATAATTTTTAAAGCCAAAAAAGAAAATCATGAAAAATCCTAAATGCTTTGCTTGCCAAAACCAAATAGAACTAGTTATCTGTTATTGTTCGAAGTTTCAACGACTCTATTTCTGTTGAACTTGTCGAAAGCATTTTTTACCAAAACAAAGAAAAATTAAGGGAGTTCTACCATTCTCTCCCTAAAAAAAGAAGAAGGTCTTTTATCATGGAGTAGCGTCTCTGCGAGGATTACTTTTAATGTTTGTTAGTCCTCGCTAAAACGCACTTATTTTAATAAGGGAGTGTTATTTGTCTTGGCTACTTGCTATTATAGCGTCAGCCAAGGAACGAGGGGGCAACCCCTCCACTTCCACCAAAACAAATATGCCAAAATCTAAAAAACTGCAAAAGCAAATCGAAAATAAATTAGAAAAATTAAGCCAGTTATTAGATTACCAAGAGGAAGCCCGAATCATTAACTCTAATGACCCCGACACCTGAGACTCGGATGCTCTTTATGATTTGGTAGAAAACTGTAAGGAAATCCTAACTCTTTTAGAAGACCAACTAATTAAAGGCAAATTGGATGAATTGGGTCAGCCTTTTTATGAAGATGGTTTATGCTCTTTGGTAGACAGTTATCAGTCGGAGGAAGCAGAAAATTTTTAATAATGAAGCAAGAATCTACTACCACTATTTATGACTGTTTAGGAATGGCTTTCTGAACTAAACGCCAATGCCTTAATTGTCAACAATTTTTTAGTCAAAGGGACTGAAAACAACAAAATTACCAACTTTTTTTAAAGAAGTTGGGGACATAAAATCCACCCTCTCTTTAAATTATGCGGTCTTAGTGAGAGTAATTGTCGAACTCCACCACCGCCACTGTCCACTGGCGGACAGTCTGAATTATCAGTCTGAAATAACTCGTCCTTCAAAATAATGACCCAAAAAAGAAAAATCCACCAATTAAAAGGAACTATTAAATATGCCTTTGAAGGAACTAGCAAAAGCAAAATTTATAAAAAGCAACCCTTTTACTGTTTAGAAATCCAACAGCAAACTTGGTTAGAAACTAAAAAAGAAAACATTTTTGTTTTTCCTAATTTAGTTAGTCCCTCAATTTGAAACACCCTCTGCACTGAAACTTTTAAAGATAAACTGTATTTTTTTTATTGCGAAAAAAGAACCCGCGGATGAAGACTGAAAGATTGGGAAGAAATAAATTAATTATATGGATAGCATACGTCCATAGTATATAAAAAATGATTAAAGCATTTAAAAATAAGTACAGTCAAACTATCTTCGAAACCGAAAAATTAAAAGATGTTCCTCAACAATTTCGCCATATTGCCAAAAGAGTTTGGCGGAAATTAGATATTCTTGATGCTGCTCCTAATCCAAAAATCTGTGAAGAAATATTAGGCAAAAAGAATTATAAACCTCTAAAAGGAAATCGAAAAGGTCAATATGCAATAAGAATTAATGATCAATACCGAATCTGTTTTAAATGAGGTCGAGATAACCATGCCTATGATGTCGAACTAAACAAACATTACTGAGATTAAAAAATAAATTTAATATAACCTACCTTATAATAATATTATGAAAGCCACCACCCTATCCCGAGCTATTCATCCCGGAGAAATCCTAAAAAAAGAATTATTAACTCCGCAAGGCATTAGTCAAGCCGAGTTAGCTCGGAGTATTAATGTCTCGGTACGCCGAGTTAATGACATTTGCCAAGGCAAAAGGGGTATTACTCCCGATACTGCTTTACGCTTAGCCCTTTATTTTAATTTAGGAAATGAAGGAGTAGAATTTTGAATGAATTTGCAACACAATTACGAAAAACGCTATTGAAGAAGCATTTTAGCTAGTCAAGAGAAAGCCATCAGGAAACAAATCCATTCTTTGCCTTGCTCGAAGTAATTCCTAATTAAAATTATGAATGCCTACCAGAAAAAATTACCACCCATTCATCCCGGAGAAATTTTATTAGAAGAATTTTTAAAACCAGCTCAAATTACCCAAAGCAAATTAGCTACTGATATTAAAGTATCTTTTCGGCGAATTAATGACATTTGCCAAGGCAAACGACCAATTACGGTTGATACCGCTGGTCGACTAGCCATTTATTTTGGCTTACCGGAATACTTTTGATTAGATCTCCAACAACGGTATGACTATCTAGGTTGAGAAGCCAACCAGAAAATTCTCCAACAAGAAATTAAACCTTTAAAATTAACTAATTCAGCAGGACTCCGCAGAGCGGTAAACTTTTTAAAATTTTACCAACCCAAAAAAAGAAAACATTTCCATTAATGCTAGTAAGTTAAAAAACCATGTTCGCAAAAAAAAAAAAAAAAAACACTACCAACTAAACACTAAGCAAGCCGGAGAAGCCTTGGAACTATTAACTAATTTAGAAAACAATAGCGTTAGCCTAGTTTTCTTAGATCCCCAATATGAACCAGTAAAAAAGGTTCTGTCGGTTAATTATCCACTTTATTCCCAAAGTGATTATCAAATATTAAGAATATTAGAGCAAATTGAGCGAATATTAAAACCAAGTGCCTTTTGTCTTTTATGAGTAAACAAAACTCTACTGTGCAATGACCGCATTCCCTTATGACTTTTAAAAACTCCTTCACTGAAAATAGTGGATTTTCTAGTTTGGCACAAAAAAAATACCCTAGGGCTAGGAAACTGATTGCGTTCTAATGCCGAATTCTGTTTCCTAATTCAGAAGTTCCCCCAAAGCGGTAAATTATTTAAAAACCGTTCTTTTGGGAATGTGTGAGAAGAAAATGTTTTGCCAACTAAAAAAAGAAAACATCCCCATCAAAAACCCCGAGAATTAATCAAAGCCTTAATTTCTGCTACCACTAATGAAGGTGATTTAATAATTGACCCTTGTGCTGGTTCTTTTGTAGTTTTGGAAGCCTGTCAAGAGTTAAGGAGAGAATTTTTGGGTTGCGATTTAACTTTTAAGGAGATGGAAGAATTTATTAATAAACCAACAAAATATTTATGCCGAAGAAAATTAATGCTAGTAAACCAAAAATAAAAAAACCAATTTGTTTCCAGTGCCAAGTAGCCCGAATTAAACTTGAAAAAATTTGAAATGGTCAACTTTACTGCCGAGCTTGTATTAAGTGAAATGAAGAAGCCGAGCAATCAGGAATAGCCGAGTGTTATCGCTATATTTCTACTTTCTGCCAAAATTGTGGTCAATGCAATTCTTGTCAGCAAAGAACTCAATTAAACCCCTACTCTACTGCCGATTTACTAATCGAAGTTATTAACCGAGCTGATTATGAAGCCCTTATCAATTGAGAAGATGATGGCTTTCAACACCGCATCCAAGAAATAATTTGAGAACTAAAAGAAAGTCAAGGTATGAGTCCAGCCGAAATTGAAAAGGCAGTCAACCAAGATATTTTTGAAACCAAATTTTCCCGAAGAAAAAAATATAGTCGCGGTGTTTAGTAAAAATAATAAAATTATTTATTATGGAAAGCAAAAAAAAGCCAAAGCATTCTCAGTCTATTTTTGACAAAGAATTTAATTTAGACCAAAAAACCAAGCAAGCTTTTGGGAAATTTATTAAAGCAGCGAGAAAGAAAAAGGAAGCCACTGGCGAACACAGTCAAATAATTATCTGTGGTTCGGAAGAGTTTGGGGAAAAAAAATAAATATTTATTGAATAGTTCTGATAAAAAATAATCAAAAACACTCTGATAACAGATATTATGGTAGTTAAAAAAACTAAACAATTTCCCTCTGTGCTTAAAGGAGAAGCTAAATTTAATTTAGATGAAAGAACCAAGCAATCTTTTGCTAAACTTATCCAAAGGAACAAAAAACATAAAACCGACCAAAGAAATTTTAGTCAAACTATTATTTGCGGAGCAAAGGAATTTTCTCAGACCCAAAAAAAAACAAAGAACCCCTAATATCAGACCACTTCCAATCCAATCAAAAATACTCTTTTTATACCCCCTAAACCACGCTCAACAGACCACTTCACCCAGCGAATTTTCTTTTTTGTTTTTTCTAACTTACCAAAACAGCATTAAGATGAATAATAACTTCAATAGCCTGATCATAGATTATTCCCCCCCAACCAAAAAATAAAAAACCCAAATTTAATCCAACCATTATTTTAAATGCTCAGCCAAAACTACACTCCGCAAGATATTAAACATGCTTATCAAATTGTCCAAGCGGACTTATTTAATGCTATAGTAAAAGCTCCCGAAGGAAGCAGTTTAAGATTAGGTAATTTAGGCAAGTTTACTAAAAAAGAACAGCGTTTAAAAAGTGCTCTGTTTAAAACCAAATCCGGAAACCAAAGCACTTTTGTTTATTACCGAATTAATTTTAAACCGTTTAGCAAACTTAAAACTGCCCTCAGTGAACAGATAATTAAACAGTATCGCTTAAAATAATATGGCTCAGTGAAACAAAAGATATCTGCTCTTAATAATGGCGGCTATCTGTGTAGCTCTTTATTTTTTTGGTTCCGAAAAAATTTTAGCCGACAGCAAGTTTTTAAGACCTTTCGGTTATCTCTGTTTAGGAAGCAGTGGAATGTTGCAATTGATAACTAACTAATTATTATGAAACTTGTTCACTAGTTCTTTATTACTTTTAGTTAACGCAGAAATAAAAATAATATGAATTTAATAAAACAATATTGAAAAAAAGAATATTTACTAATTATAGTGGCAGTGCTGTGCCTCTTAGTTTACTATTACCGCTCCTCATTAAATGCTCATAAGTTCACTGAATACCTCCCCCTTTTCGGTGGTCTGGCCTTCGGACTTAATACCCTTATCCAAATTGCCCACTAAATCTCATGCCTTTATTCGAAGAAACAATAAATAATCAACCCCCTAAACCCACTGCCGACAGTGGCTCAGAAAAGCAAACCCAATATAAACCTAATAGTTTAATTACCACCATCGGACAATTACTTCCGCTGGCTCCTTTTGTTTATGAACAGTTCACCGGACAAAAAGTTCCCGCCATGAGCGGAACCATCGCCGAAATCCAAAGCGGAATTCAAACTATTCTCCATAACCAACAACAATTAGCCCAGCGAATAGTGAATTTAGAAACTAACGCCTCGCAACAGTTAACCAATCTAACCCAACAATTTCAATCGCTCCGTTTAACCCATACCAAAGAAAGAAAAGAAATTGACTTTAATAACCCACCCCCTAAATTAGAAAATCAAGAATATTAACCCACCCCTATGCTCGGAATTAACTTAGACCCCTTAATCCAACAAATCAAAGAATTTAATCTTAATCAATTAAGAACCAACCAATTATTAACTACTCAGAACCAACTCTTAACTGAAATTAAAGAACTATTAATCAAAAAATAATATGCCTAATTTAGAAAACTTAAAAGAAAAACCTTTTACTAATTTTACTAAACCCCACGAAAGACTAATCAACGCCCGAAGAAATGAAGTCTTTTACCGCGATGATATCAAAAGCCTGTTTGGTTATTCCTTGGTCGGAATTGCCATCTCTTTGGCAGTGGCAGGAGTAGTCTATGTAGTTGGTAAAAAATTAACCGCTTAAACCGAAACAATATGCAAAACGAAAATCAAAATACTTGAAAAGCTTATGTGGACTGATGACCAACTTATCTGATCATGGGAGTAAGTTTAGCTTACTTTATTGACCACAGTGGCATTGTCCAAAAGTTATCCCACAAACTATTTACTAAAAAAGAAGCGGAGTAAATAATCTCCGCTGTTTTAATCCACCCACCATGAACTTAGAATTATCCACTTTCTCCTTATCCGAATTAGAACAATTATTAACCAACTTATTAAGCAAAAGTAGTTGTAATTGCCATTTCATTAATTCCTCCAAAACTAGAATCTTAATGTGAAAATCCGAAATAAATGGTCAGATTATTTACCATTTAAGAATCGGGATTCAAAAGTTTAGTTCCCAAGAGCAAACTGATCGGAATGGAGAAATTTATTGAAGATACTACCCTCCGGAAAGCAAAGAAACTATTCCTAATTCCGAATTAGACCCGGTGGCTAAGTTTAACCAACGCCAAGCCAAAACCGAACAAATTAATCATGCCAAATCAACTGTTAACTCCCCATCTAACTAAGACTGTCCAAGATTTAAGCACTAGTTTATCTGTTCTCCAACCCCTCCATGCCGATAACCAAACTACCCAACTAATTACTTACGCCTTAGTAGCGACAGCGGTGGTGGGAATATTTGTTTATCACTATATTAAAAATCAAGAAGCCCACTAAAACGGGCTCTTTTTAAAAAACCAACCATGGCAATCAAAGATTATTTACCTGATTTCAAAGGAGCCTTAACTGGCTTTTATGAAGAAAGTTTAAAAGGGACTATTGAAACTAAAACTAATGAATTTAAAGCCCTTTTAGAAAGCAATATTGCCTATGGACAGCAAACCCAGCGAATTTTAATCGCCATTGCCCTGGGCATTTTCTTTTTAGTGCTGATTGCTTACTTTTGAAACTAACCGACCTTTTTTAATTATCTTACCCATCTCTAAACCAAACTAAAAATCTTATGAATCAAGAATTAAATATGAGTTATCGCTTCAAGTATATCGCGATTGGTCTTATTACCTATGTAGTAGCCACCTATGCTTGAAAAATATACCAAACTAAAAATCAATAAAAAATTATGCTGAACCAATTATTAGAACACAAATGAACTGTAATCGCAGTAGTAGTAGCCGTTATAGTTGCTTACTACTTTTACCAAAAAAATTATGGTGAAAACTAAACTTCCCAAAAGCAAAAAAAAGGAAGTTAGTAAACTTCCTAAACTAACCCCTGCTGAAAAATATTGGGAAAAAGTCGACCAACAAACTCACTACTTAATTGCTGACTTACTTAATCAAATTTTACCCCTATCCAATTTAAGAGATAAAAAAAACTTAGACTTAGAAAAAGATACTGATTACCGCACTCTTTTTTTTGAATACGAAAATAATTATTCCGAAGAAGAGTTGCTCAGGAGTGAAACTCTAGCCGAAAGTATTGCCTATGAATATCTTTTGTTAGTAGTAAAGAGTTTGTTAGCAAAACTAAAAGATTTCAAATGCCATTTAGACTTTGAAGATTTATATTAAAAAATTATGCCCCAAATAGACAAACCTAAAAACAAAAAAAATTTACCGGCTAAGTCCAAGTCCAAAGCAGTTAAAAAGTCCAAACAAAATACTTTGGCTTATTATAATTGCCTGATAGACCAAGTGGCTAAACCAAGCAAGGCCAAACTAAAAATTGCCCAATTAGCCCATCACTGTAAATGTAAAAAAGGAGCAGTGGCCTTAGCTCAGCAAAAACATAAGCAACAGTTAATCCAAAACTTAGCCCAAAGTTATAAAAGTTTCGGCGAAAGTTTAGGCCATTACTTCCAAGCCGATATTGTGGGCTGTGCCCAAGAGTTGAAAAAGAAATAATGCAAAAAGAACCGCTCATCTTACTAACTGGTATCGGTCTAGTAGGCTATGTAGTTTTTCACGGCCACCGCCTAAACCAAGAGTGCTGACTGTGCCCTTATAAAGGAATGGCTTTCTTAGGCAGTTCGGTAGTTCTGGGAGCCTTTTTAGCGGTACAGGAAAATTAATTATGGCTGACTGTTGCGAATTACTAAAAACTGCCCTCTATGTAATTGCCGGAGCTTTTGGAGTGATTTTAGCCCTTTTGGCTATGTTTTTTGGCTATAATTTAAAACTGAGTGCTCGCACCGCTCAATTAGAGAAAAAAAATGGCAAAGAACAAAAGCAAATTGATGAACTCAAAAAAGAAATGGCAGAATTGAAAGCGTCAAAAAAATAATACCGAAATTTTCCCGCCCATGGATAACTGTCTCCTTTGCCAAAAGCGAAAAGCTTTCGCAAACTCTAATCTGTGCTTTATTTGTTCCTTTACTAAATTACCTTAAATATATGATTATCTACTTAATAATTCTGGCTCTAGCAGTCGGCTTGGTTTACTATTACCGCCCTAAACCAGAAAAAGAAATCTGATATGATGCCGCCGAAGAACTTTAATTTATGACTAAGCAAGCTTTACAAAAGGAACTTTTAGAAAAAGTAAAACCGGGGGCTAAACCCAGTGATATCAAACGAAGAAAGAGTGCCGGTGATATTCCTTCGGCTCCGCCTTTGCCTAATTTAGCCCAAGAAAATAAGCAACTAAAAGCTGAATTAGCTCAGTTAAAAGCCACTCCGCCCAATCTTTTCCTCTCTGGCTTACTAGACACCAAACAGCGAGAACTAGAAAAAGTGCGAAAAGAATCCGAAACCAAATCTAATACTATCCGCTTACTGCGGGAAAACTTAGAAAGAGATACCAAAGAGCAAGAAATCAGCGAATTAAAATCCCAGTTAAAAGCAACCAAACAGCAATTAGATAATTCTTTGGAAGCCCGCACTAAGGCTTTATCCGATTTTGCTAAGCAGTATGAAAAAACTAAGCAACTGGCTACTGAATTAGAGCAAACCATTAATCAAGCCTCCGCTGAACTAAACCAAGGCGACAGTGAAATCACCCACTTACGGACTAAACTATTCCAAGCCACCCAGCAAGCCAGTAGTTTACAGCGAGAATTAAATCTAAACCGAATTAATCGCCATAGTTCACCCAGCAATTCCGCTAGTCTGAATAATTACCAAACCAAACTAGACTATTTTCAATATGCTCTTTATGCTCTAATGGCAGTCTGATTTATGCTGGCCTTAAATGCTTCTTGAAATGCCAAACATTCCCTAAATACAAAAAACCAAAATGCTTAAAAACACTCTAATAATTGCCTTAGTAATAGTAATCATTTACCTTTATTACCAAAAGCAAAATAATCTAGCCAGTTTTACCAACTCTACCGGCAATTTTGCCGAAATAGAAGAAGTAAAAAAAGTAAATAAAATCTTTGCTGATTTTTGCCGCAATGAAATTGGCGGTAAAGATATCCAAGAAATTCGCACTAAATTAAATGGTCGCCAACTAACTGATATATTAGAAGAAAATGAAGATTACGAAACCGAAAAAGATGAACTAACCAGAAAAAAAGGGGAATTAGAAGCCGAAATCACTCTACTGACTAATTCTCGCAAGAATCAAATCCAAGAAAAAGAGCGAATAATTACTCGCCTGAAAGAAGAAAAAAGCGAGTTAGAAAAAAAATATAAAAAAAAAGCCCGCGATTTAGATACGGAACAGTTAGAAAATAATAAATTAACTGAAAAAATAACTAGTTTAGAAGAACAGATTAAGCAATTAAAAGCAGATACTCCCTTGCCGGATAACTGAGAAGCTAACCGCATAACTGAATTAGAAACTACTCTCCGCACCAAAGAAGGTCGGATTCAAGAATTAGAAAAAACCCTTCGCAAAACTAAGAAATAATTATGGATAACTTACTCTTAACTGCTCTAATTCTGGTCTTACTTTACTATTTCTTTTTTTACCAACCCACCTCCAAATTAAATGCTAACCAACCACTAAGCAAAGCCACCCAAACCGAACCCAGTGAACAAACGGAATTAGAAAACCAAATAGATACTCTAATTTCCCAAATTAGAGACTTACAGCAAATATGTTAAAAACCAAATTAGAATTATTAGTAAAAGAGTTCAGCACTCTAAAAGCAAAGATTACCACTAAACTGCACACCCAACAGCAAACTATTAGCGAAAGCAATCGAAAGTTAGAATTAGCCACTAAGGAAAATAGCGAAAATGAAAAACTGTTAGAGCAATTAGCCCAAGAGTTTAAAGCCTTAGCCGAACAATTAAATTAGATGGAAAGAGCAGCAATAATTAGCAGTTGAAATGAATTAAAAAACAAAATGCTAAAATGAAAACCCATGGCAGAAAATAAAACCCTCCTTAAAGATGCTCTGGAAACCCATTTAAATCAGGCTTCTTATTTTACCAGAGAGTTTTTTAGCCGAGATAGTTTACAAGAATTTGATGAGCGGAAAAAAAGTCTGAACCATGAATTGGAAACAACTATGGCGGAAAGCAGAAAAAAGCAGATTGCGAGTGAACTAACTAACTTAGAAAAACTCAATTGTAGCCAATCATATTTTAAAGACCAAAAATATCTAAATCAGAAAATAGTAGAGCAGTGTAAAGCACTATTAGAAAAGTTAGAAAATTAAAATGGAAAGAACAGAAATATGAGAAACTTGAAAAAGTTTAAAAGCAAAATTATCCGTTTGAAAAGATGGAAAAGTGGTAGTCTACAAACCTTTTGTTGCCCCTTGGCAAGAAGCCTATTCTTCTAAATACAGTCATAATTATAATGCCCCAGAAGTTCCCGAAACTACTCCACCGCCCATCTCTTGCTATGAAGAATATCAATTCTGCTTAGGACAAATCTTAAAAAGTTTAGGAGTTAATATCTCTTCTCCCTCCATTAGTTTAGAAGATATTGAATTCGCTATTCAAGAGTTTAAGAAAAGATACAGCACTGAAAACCATATTTTTTATGAGGAAATTGATTAAACATCTATCCAAAATTGAGTGAGAAAAATAAAAAAGAAATTTAAAAATATATGACTTATACCGCCGAAGAATTGGAAAGACAATTTCAGCAAGTTGCTGGCATTCGCAAAGGAAAAAAAGAATTTGAAAGAGATGGTGGCTACTGAGATGGAGGACGATGTAATTGAGGCGCTAGCCACAATCTAAAAGAAGATTGTAAAAGATTATCCGATGCTTTCAATAAGTTAGAAAGTTTTGGCAGAATTAGAGAAGAATTACAAGCCTGTACTAGTAAAAGTGAATATGATGCCAAAAAGACTAATTATATTAGAAAGTGTGATGAAGTTATTAATGGATTAGAAGTAAAAAACAACAGTACAGATTTTATATTTAATATCTGCATAATTTGAAGTGGAAAAGGAAATAAAGAAAATGTTGAATCAAAAGCAAAAACCACTCAAAAAAATTTGCAACAATTAAAAAAATCTCTAGAAAAAGAAGATTATAAATGAGTTCAAGAAATAAAAGAACTTAGTTTAGAGATAAACAAAATTAACCAAAGGATAGAAGAAAATAAACTTAAAGCTATAAAGGAAACCGACCCAATTAAAAAAGCAGTTCTGATTCAAGCAATTGAAGATGATGGCAATTTACTACAAAAGAAATACAAAAAAAAGAAAAGAACTTGGTAGTAAATTAATCTTTAATCCTGATAAACATGTTTCTAATTTAATAAATGCTATAAAAAAATCTATCAAAAGGTCTGAAAATAAAGTTAACGATAAAAAAAAGAATCCTACTGAACCTAATGCTCCTGATGCCGATGATGAAGATAATAATAATTCTGATGATGAAAGCATTTCTGATAGTGAAAACACTTCCGAAAACTGATTTCGGGATAACCAATCACTTATTATTATCACCGGTATTGGTTTGCTAACTATTCTCTATCTCTATTATTCCCAAGAAGAACCTAATTATTACGACTTTTAAATTATGACCAATCCCGAACAAATTAAACAAAAGTTAGGTGAAACTACCCAGCAACTAGAAAATTATTTAGAACCTTGGCAAAGAGGTGCTTTAATTTTAGCTTTACTCTATGCTCTATTTATTGCCATCTATTTACTCACTAAAAAAGAAACTCCGGAACCGAGAGAACTAACTGATAGCGAAAGAAAAAAAATAGAAAATTTAGCCGAAGAAAGAATTTTAAAAAGAGCGGAGTTTTTAAGAAAATTGCGAGAATAATATCTAATTACCTATGCGAATCCAAGGACTACTCAGCCCAGAAAGCGAAAAAGATAAACAACAACAGCAAATATTACTGATTTTGTTAATTATTGGAATAGGTTATTATTTTTTTGTTTATCTAAATAATAAAAGAGAAGTAGCCAAAGCTGAAATAAATAAATTATTTCGGACTAATCCCACTATTACTGTGACTGATTTAGATGCTAGTTTATGAAAGAATAAAGAAAACTGGGAAGAATATTTGGATAGTTGTTTAATCTCTTCACAGATTAATTTGTTTGTGAGGAGGATGAAAACTACAATTATAGATAAAAGTGTTAAAGAAGAAGCAAAACCGAAAAAGGCTAGAAAAGAAGCAATTAAAGGAATGGAGGAGTTTGCTGAAAACAGTTGAACGAAAGATGAATTAAATTCACTTGAACTCAAAAAAGAAATAGAAAGATTTACTAAGAAAATTAACAGAGCTTCTATTAATGATATTTCTTCTGTCAAAGATGAGGCTATTGAGTTTATCATTGGAATAAAAGTGAAAAGACAAGGACTTCATTGAAAAGCAAAACCTTATAACTGAGCCGATAGATGATTAATAAGGAACAGAATCAGTTTTGAATCTATCTGGGAAAAACTTAGTAAAATTTTTGAAGAAGAACCGAAATATTTTGATATCAGTGCTATTTATAAAATTAATTTTCCTCCTTTGCTTTGAAACGAATTAACCGAAGAACAAAAAAACTTAGCCAATAAAAAAGGTCATGGTAGACTGAAATTAAGAGATGAAGTCCAAAATTATAAGTTTAATGATTTAATTGCTGGATGAGAAGAGAAAGTAAAAGCAAATCCTATCCGAGGTGAGTTAGATATCAAAAACAATGAACTAGACAATAATGCCCTTTTCTATGGAGCACCGCGAACTGGAAAATCAGTGATGGCAGAGAAATTAGCCTATGAAGCTGATAAATATCCATTAGTAGTAATTCAGGGTTCAACATTAACTCCTAAAAAAACTGATGCGGATATTGGTGCTACTTTACTGCTAAAATTCATTTTTACCATCTCTGATATAACTCATAAGTTAGTAGACGACTTTGGTTTCGAAAGGGAAGCGGATGGCGAAGTACGTTATATTCTGTTTATTGACGAAGCCGACCAAATTTGCACTACGCAATCTTTACCTCCCAAAGATGCTTCTTCTCAACTAACTTTCCTCAAAGAGTGCATGGGTAGTGATGATAAGGAAGAAGAAAGCAAGAATCTTTGAATTGCAGCCACCAACAACTTAAATAGTATCGATACAGCCATTTACCAGTCGGGGAGGCTGAGCAATCCTTTATGTTTTAGTTGGACTTTGGGAGATTTCATGAAATATGCTGATGATGCTGGTATTAGTAGCAAGTTTCCTAACTACTGATTAGATGAAGTAGTTCTAAACGATGAAGATAATAAATGGGTGAATCGGTTTAACAAAATTATTTTTGATAAAGACTTTTTACCTTTCTGAGAAAAATTTATTGGTTATAATACTAACTGCGAATACGAACCGGAGAAGAATGATGAAGCAGAAGAAAAAGAAAACGATAAAAGCAAAAAAATAAAGATTAAGTGAGGTGAAATGTTCGAGTTTTTTTGAAGGTTGTATGACAGCAAACAATTAGAGAGTTTTAATGGAAAATTTTTTAATCCGCAAGAACCAAAGATTAAAGATGTAGTAGCCCAAGCAAGTGGACACATAAGCAAGACATTAGATATTCGCTTAAAAGATGTTTGAGATGGTATAGGAAAAGTAGAAAGTGAAATGAAATCAGCTAATAGCAATAATGCCAAGAATTTTAATGAAGCCGTTCAACAGATAACTACTCTCTTATCAGAAATAGGAGGCAAAATATAAAATTTATGAATCACCAACAAATTAAATTAATCGAAAATAAAATCCAACAAACCCAAAACCTACTAACTAACTGAACCAACCAAATTTCAACCTACCAATCGCAACTACAAAAATTAACCGACCAATTAAATTCAATCAAAACCAAATTAATTAATAATAAAACTAGCAAGAAATCAAAAAAAAATATGAATCAAAAATTAAAAATAGTCCCTCGGACTCTAAACAAAAATAAGAAATAACTATGCCAGAACCAATAACAATGGCAGTAGGATATGGAGTTTTCAAAATAGTATGCTGAACCGGTGCAGCTGTGTTTGCCACTTATAAAGCAAGTAAAGCCTACGGCAAATATTCTAAAAGACAAAAAGAACATTTAGCCTTAAAAGGTAAAAGTTTAGAAGATTTAAGAAAAACTAATGAAGCGTCAAGAGAAGCAGAGAAAAAAGCGAGGGAAGCATTAGAAGAACAAAATAGAAAAAATGAGGAAATTAAAAAAGAGTTAGAAAAAGCTAAAAACAAAGCTAATGACACTGACCTTTCAGAAGAAGAAAGAGCTGAATGAAGAAAAAAAGTAGTAGTATTAGAAGAAGAATTAGCTAATGGAAAAAATGCAAGCAAGACCATCATTGACCAAATAAAAGATATAGGTGAAAAAATAAATAGTAATAGCAAAGTCATTTCCGGCATAACTTCTAATTTGAATGAAAAACACTGGGTGTGAGAATTAGTTACTGTGGAAAATGTTGTAGTCTTAGGAGGAATTTATATGGCGTATAAGTTATTAAAGGATGATAAAAAATAATTATTTATTTTGCCTTTTTGAAAAAATAATAACTATTATAACCAAAAAAACTAACAAAAAACCACCACCGATTAGTCATGGAGTATAATTAAAAGGAGAGGAATTATTGTTTTTTTCTAAATCCTTTAATTTGCCTTTCAAATTTTTCAATTCGGTTTCTTCTTCCGGAGATTTATTTGGTTTTCGCTCTAATTTTTTGATAGTTCTTTTCAATTTCTCTCTCTCTATGTCATCCTTATTAGGAATATTACTCTTTTGTTCTCCGGCAAATTCTAAGCAGTATTCTTCAATGTAATTACTCATTTCTCGGAAATTTACTAATTCAAATTCATCTATCACTCCAAACTCCCCTACCACAGACTTTAATTCGCTAAAATAATTTCCATATCTCAAATTCAGTCAATTATCAAGGTAATCTTTTTTTTTGAGAAAAGTTTGGAAAGAAAAAATATTTAACTTTTTTTCTCTTAGTCATTTCTCAACTTTTTCACCGTATCACATTTGAAACTTTCTTGTGAATTCTTTATTACCATCTTCACCGCAATCTAAGCAATAAGGTTCATCGTTCTTCCCTTGCTTATTAAAACACCCATTCCAAGCAATATTTTTATGAAAACATAATTTACCTTTGTTTTGGTATTTTAATCTAATTCTCGCCGGAAATTTTTTTTCTAATTCGGTTAATTTTTGTGATAATTGCTTTAATTCTGAATTATAAGAACTATTTTCTAATTTAGTTTCTCAATTTTTAATTTCTCTTTCTATTTTTTTTATATCGGAATAGTCTTTGTACTCTAAACTACTTTCTGGGATTAGCAAACTGTTTATTTGCGATTGATAATCAATAATTTTTTCTTTAACTACTCTTTCTCAATAATTTTGTCAGTATACTTGGCACTTAGGTCTAAGGCAAGTTGAAGCAACTACTTCTCCACCACACTGAGTGCATATTCTTTTTGCCATAATCTTAAAAATAGAATACTAAACTCCTATTCTGTTTTTTTTTTTTTTTTTGCTAACCATAATAGATAATTTTATAAAAACCCCTACTTCACAGCCATTCTTTTGTAAAAAATAATAAATATAGTGCCTATGGTCGGAGGGATAGGAAATAGCAAATTAGTATAATTCTAAAAATCAATTGCTACCTAATTTGCTATATTTATGCTTAATTGCTTTGGTAGTGATTGTAAAATTAATAAACTAAATTTAATAAAAATTATTATGAAACCAACAACAAGAAATAAAATAGAAAGTACAGACGAAAATTGGAAAAAAATAGAAAATATAATCAAAGAAAAAAGTCAAGCTTATAAACTTATCGATTCTTGAGAAATAGAAGAAATTGAAACTTTTTCTATACAAAATAACACTAATGAGTTTTCTATATTTGTTACTAACAATGTAATTAGTGGTTGGTTTACATCTGCCGTTCTAAAAGATTTAAAAAGAAAATGTTACAACTTATGATTAATAGATCGTAAACTTAATGGAGAAGAGGAAATTTTTTCAGTTACGAAAATTTATTCTGATGAGAAAGAATCATTCGAGGGAGCTTTTTCATCAATAGAAAAAACTAATCAAAAGAAAGAGAAAATAATAAAAGGATTGGAAGACTTAGCTAAGCAAAGAAAAGAGTTGGTTGAATTACGAGAAAATAAGCAAAAATTAGAAGATCTGTCGAAAGAAGAGAAAGTAAAAGTTATTCAACTTGAACTTCAAGTCGCTAGATTATTAAAAGAATCAAAAAAAATTCGGAATATTCTTCTTATTGGTCGAACTGGTAATGGAAAATCAACACTCGGTAATGTTTTAATTAATAAAAATGAAAATTTTGAAGAGGTTTTTAAAGAAAGTAATTATGCTGCTAGTCAGACTAAAGAACTAGGCATTGAGGAATTTGAGTATGATGGGATAAAGTATCGAATAATCGACACTATTGGATTTGGAGACACTGAGTTAACAGAAAAGGAAGTATTAGATAAGATATCTGAGGTTGCTTATTCCATAAGCGATGGTTTAGACCAGGTTTTGTTTGTCACAAAAAGTCGCTTTACAGAAGAAGAAAAAAATGTATTCAACTTGTTGAAAAATGTCCTCTTCGATGAAACTATTGGCAAGTATACAACAATCGTTCGTACTAACTTTCCTGATTTTGATAAACCAGAAGAACGCCAAAATGATATTAAATCAATGAGCAAGGATAATAAAACTAGTGATGTGATAATAAATTCTTGTAATAATAAAATTATTCATGTGGATAACCATCCAAAAATCAAGGAAAATCGAGATAAATCAAGGAAAATCTTGCTAAGTCATTTAGCAAAATGTAAAGGGGTTTATTATCCAAATAATTTGAAAGACCTAGTATCTAGAATCAAATCTTATGAAGAAATAGAAAGAAAAAATAGGGAAGAGATAAAAAAATTAGAAGAGAGCAGAAACAAGTTGGAAAAAGAAAATAATGAAGAAAGAGAAAAATTAACTAGAAGAATAGAAGAATTAGAAAAAGAGAAAAAAGACGCTGAGGAAAATAGACGCCAAGAAACTCGGGAACACGTTGAAAATAGATGTTCGAAGTGAATTGATATAGGAGTGAGGACAGGGCAACTTGTCATGTCAATAGTTCAAGTTACACAATAATTAGAAAAAGAAAGGTAGATAGGGGGTAATGTCCCCTATCTAATAAATATTTAGTAGTAAACGATTTATTAGATATTTTTAAAAGCAATAGAGGAATTATATCAACCTTTAAAAAACACACTAAAAACTAGGATTTTTACTAAATATACTACTAAATTAGTTATTTTTTTACTCTCTGATTTCACTAATCCAATAAAGCACCTAATTACTTAATACTTTCTTTAAAACTAATAATATAAGATATAAGCAAAAACATATTCTTTTAATTAATTTAACTCCTTATGAATACTAATAATATCTTGTGACGAGTTGCTGATTTAGTATAAATAATCGTTTCCTAATTTTCCAACTTCTTACCTTACATTATGTATTAACCTTAGGAAATTTTTGTATATTATGATATAAAATTATTTTTTATTCTTAGGGAAGGAGTCTTTCTAATTTCATTAAGTTTTCTTTTTGCCTAACTCCTAATCTTTTTTTGGCTTGTAATTCTACTATTTTCTTTTTGATACTTTTTTTGTTTTCTAAACTTCCTCCGCTTCACAGATGATAAATTACTAAGGCATCTAATTGGTGTAAACTAATCCTTTCTTGCTTATATTTCCAACCTTTACCTCGCCCGGCTTCACAAGTTAGATTTTCCAATTGTTCCCGACCGGTGAATAATTTGTCTTTAAAAGGCTTTACTTGGTTGACTGCGATACTATCTATTTGTTTTACAAAGTCAAAAGTATATTTTATCCCAACGATGCCACCGATTAATTTTAGCAAAGTTAAGGTTCCGGGTATTCTTTTGTGGATATAATTAGTTGTCTCGTAAACAATAATTTCTGGTCGATATTTTTTTACTATACTAACAATAAATTCCAAATGTTCTTCTCAATTATTACTTTGATATTCTAAAAAACTAACTATTTCATTACTAATTAAGCATATTCCAGTAGTCCCTTTACCGGAAGGGTCAATAGTCATTGTTATATTTTTGCTATCCATGAATATTAAAGTTATTTTTGGAATAAAACAATTTAAAATTAAGTTTTTTTTATTAACTTTCAACTTAACCTTCGCAAAAATAACTGTTTCTAAAAAACCATTGCCTTCTCAATACTATTAAAAATATTAATTACCGCTGAATTATTAATTAAACAAAAGCAATTCAACCCTGAAATTTTGGCTAAGTTAGCAAAAGAAAAAGAGCAAAATTCACTTCTTTATCAGACCCTTAACCAAGAAGGACGAATCGATAAAGCCATCGAACAACAAAAAAATATTCAAAAATCCTCCCAAAATAAGGCTAATCCAACTGCCCCCAAAGAGCAAAACCAACCATTCCCTCTTAGAATATTTTTTGCTAGCCTCTTAGTGGTAGCAATCATAGGTTTTGGAATAATCTTCCTAATCTGAAAAAAGCGAAAAAGAGCAAAAAAATAATGGACCAATCCCAAAATCTAGTTAATAGTTGAATCCTAAATGAACTAGCCATTTTACAAAAAGATTACTTTTTTTTATTAGAAGGAAAAGAACTAAAACTACCTTAATGAAATTCCTGCCTTAACTTCCAACCGGTTCTCTAATTCTATTTCCGTTTTTGTTAATTCAATTTTAAGTTGACAAATATTTTCGACTTCTTCCTCGCTTAATTTCGTTTTCAAACTTCTTTTTGCTCTGTTTAATTCTTTTTCGAATGAAGCGAGAATATCCCCTAATAGAACAATTTGTTTTTGAGCCATCAAAAGCACTTCCATAAGCCCTTTTTGTTTTTCACTCAATTTTTTTTCATATTTATATTTTACAAATTTTTTTATATATAAGAAATTTTATATATTAAGTCGCTTCGCTGTTAATAATCTTTTATACATTTTAAAACTAAGCCAAACTATAAAAAAATACTCGCCAAGAACAAAAAAACCTAAAAATAGAATAAAAGCAAAAAGAGTTTTAAAAAATTAATATATTATTGCTAAAAAAAATTAAGACTTTTTATGAATCAAGAACGAGAAAAGGAAATTATTGAGCGATTCACCGAAAACCTCAACCAAAAAGAAAAAGTTAACGAAGTAGCGGTAATTGGAAGAGATAAAGAAATCAAACAGTTAATTTATATTTTGTCGCGGATGATGAAAAATAATCCTTTGCTGGTTGGCAAGCCCGGAGTCGGAAAGACCGCCATAGTAGAGGGTTTAGTTCAAAAAATTAAACAAGATCAGGTTCCTAATTACCTACAAGGAAAAACCATTTATCAACTTGATATGATTTCTCTAAGAGCCGGAACTAAATTTCAAGGAGAGTTAGAAACCCGATTAAAAGTAATTTTGAATTATATGGCTCGACCGGAAAATAATGCCATTCTCTTTATTGATGAAATTCATATGATTATGGGGGATGGAGGTGTACAGGGGGTTCTCAATGTTGCTAATTTGCTAAAACCAATGCTTTCGCGGAGCGAAATTCAGTGTATCGGAGCCACTACCCAAGAAGAATACCGTCAATATTTGGAAAAAGATGAAGCCTTAGCACGTCGTTTCAGCAATATTTTAGTCGACGAACCCAGTCCGGAGGACACCCTGGATATTTTACGGAACATTCGAAATTATTTTGAAATTTATTATGAATTAAAGGTCTATGATGAAGCTCTTTTGGCCGCAGTAAAGTTTTCACGGCGTTATTTGACCACTACTTATTTGCCGGATAAAGCCATTGATTTGTTGGATGAAACTTGTGGGAGAGTAAGAAGCGAAATGTGATATGAGCCTAAAATAATTGAGGAAACTCGACGAAAATTATGGGAAATAGAAATGTCTATGGCCGCAATTAGGAAAGAAGAAAATAATGAAGAAAAAATTTTTAATTTTCAGCAAGCGATAAAAAAATATGAAAAAAAATTAAGTGAATTATTAAAACAAGACCAGAAAGAAAGTAAAATTATTCAAGAGTTAAGTGTAGTTAAAAGAGAATTGACCCAAGCCGAAAAGGAATTGATTTTTTACAGAGAAAAAGAAATAAATCTTGAAAAGGCAGATGAACGAAGAAATTCTACTATCCCTATCCTAAAAAAAAGAATTGAAGAGTTAGAGGAAGAGGCTAATCAAAATGTATTAAGAAAATATTTTATCAACCACGAGGATATTGCTTGGACGATTGCCCGAAGATATAATTTGCCAGTGGGAAAAATTCTGGCTAGCGAGCAGAAAAAATTATTTTTTCTTTCCGCGATTCTTCAACAAAGAGTTAAAGGACAGGAAGAGGCTTTGCGAGGAATAAGCGATGCCATTTTTCGTTCCCGAGTCGGAATTCAAGACCCAAGCCGACCACTAGCTTCTTTCCTTTTTGTTGGACCAACCGGAGTGGGGAAAACCTTAGTGTCCTTGACAATTGCCGAACAACTTTTTGACCAAAAACAAAATCTAGTTCGCCTCGATATGACCGAATTTTCAGAGCCTCATTCGGTGAGCAAACTGATTGGTGCCCCACCGGGTTATATCGGTTTTGAAAATAAGCCAATTTTGGAAGTGGTTCGAGAAAAAATGAATAGCGTGATTCTTTTTGATGAAATAGAAAAGTGCCATCCGGAGGTGATTAACCTTCTTTTACAAATACTCGATAATGGTTTTATTAGTTTAGCAGATGGTCGGGAAGTTAATTTCCGGAATACTATTATCATTTTGACTACTAATTTAGGTTCAGAATTATACTTTGAAGAAAGGGACAAAAATGAGTTACAAGAAGGGTTAAATTATGAATTAAAAAAACATTTCCGTCCCGAATTTCTAAATCGTTTAGACGAAATAGTCTTTTTTAGTCCTTTAAGTGAGGAAATTGTTAGTGAGATTGTGGTTAAAGAACTAGAAATATTTATTCAACGGGTCGAACAAGAAAAAGGGGTTAAATTACAATATAATGAAAAAATAATAGAAAAAGTTTTTCGGGAAGCCTATTTTCCGGAATATGGTGCTCGACCGATTAAGCACTATATTGAAAAGCAAATTGGTACCTTAGTTGCACGAGGGATTGTTTCCCAATTCATTCATTTTAGTGGCAATTATCTTTTAGATTTAGAAAAAGAAACCAATGAAATTAAAATAACTAAACTTGCTTCGCTAGAAACCAAAAAAAATTTATTAAAAGAGAAACATGAATAGTAATTGCTTAATTATTAAACAAAAATTTTGTTTTTCAAAAAAGTTAAAAATTAAATAAATAAATGAAAAAAACCGAATTAGAAAATTTAGCCCAAAAGGTTCAATTAGAGATAAAAGAAAACGAATTACCCGACCATTTAGAAACTTTTAACCATCTGGAAAAAATGTTGAAAAAGTTTAAAAGGGCTAAAACAGGGTCAAACCCAAGTTCTCTAAAAAGAATAAATGTGGGTTATTTGACTTTAAAGGATTTGGAAAAGTTAACTAAAAAATATTCGAGTCCCCGAATTAGCAAAAAAGTTCTTAAAAACAATGCGGCAATTACCCCTGATGGTTTTATTCTATTTAAACTAAAAAAACAGTAATTTTATTTGCTGATTAAAGATTATATTTTTTTCAAAGTTTTTGTTTATCACAATTTGGCTTTATTAAACTTTTGATTGGTTCATAAGTTTTTCGATGTAAACTACAAATTCCATGGCGAAAAATAGCCCGAAGGTGAAATTGGTTAGGATAGCCTTTGTTGTCAAATCAACCATAGAGCGGATAATTCTTATGTAATTTCTGCATAATAGTATCTCGTGTCACCTTGGCGATAATGGAAGCAGCGGCAATATTAATAGATTTTCTATCTCCTCCCACAATGCTTATGGTCTTAATTTTATCTATTTTTATCTCTTCCTTTCCATCAACTAAGCATAAATTAGGTTTATTTTTTAGACCCAAAACAACTTCGACCATGGCCTCTTTGGTTGCTCCTAAGGGATTTTTCTCTTCTATTTCACGAGCACTTTTGGCAATTATATTATATTCTAAGGCCTCATGCCTGACTATTTGATAAGCTCTGTTTCTCTGGCTCGGACTAAGAATTTTAGAATCTTGAATCAAGGGATTTTGAAAACCAACCGGCAAAATAACCACCGCCACTATCACCGGTCCAGCCAAGGCTCCTCGTCCGGCTTCATCAACCCCCGCTATGACTGGATAATCCGGTCACATTTTTAATTCTAAGTCTAAACTTTTTCTTGCCATAAATTCTAATTTCTCTCCTCCGAAAAATTGTTTTTTTTGTGTTCGTTCAATTTTTCTTTAATTCTTTCTATTTCTTCTTCTTTATTACGACTTCAATCACGGGACAAAATACGAATTATTTTTCAACCTTTTTTTTCAAGGAGCATTTGTCTATAAATATCTCTTTCGATATCTTTTACTAATTCATTATATCCTTTTTCTTGATAAACCGCTAAATTTTTTTTTTGGAGATGATATACTTTTTTTTGTATTTTTGTAATATCCTCCAAAGCAAGTGGTTTAAAAAAACTTTCTAAGTAGAGTGAAAAAATTTTTTTGTTCTCTTGGTTGTTAATTAGAAAACTTAAACCAGAGGATAAAAATCTAGCAACCGATTTCGGGTCATTTTCGCTTAACAATTCAGTCAAATCCCAAGTTAACCGTTCACTGATGTAAAATCTTATTTTTCGATTGTAGAGAGGGTTTAAGTTTAATAACTTATCCTTCAACTTAGTTAGTCCTAATAATTTAGAACTTTTTGTGCTTTCTAACCCCATTTTGATTTAAGTAATTTTTAAGATATTTTACATAAAAATAATAGCATGAATGAAAATAAAGATAACTTACTCACTTCTTTAAAAAAAGAGACTCAGAAAAAGAATCAGAGAACTTAAAAAATGAAAAACAAAAACAAACCGAAAGTAAAAATGCTGAAAAAATTAAAAACTTGGAGAGTAAATTGACAAAACTTTATTATTGGTTGTTTGGAATATTTTTTGTTCTCTTGATAATTATTAGTGGAATGTTTTTCTATTTGCGAAGTTATTTTGGTGGTAAATAATACTTATTGTAAGGTTTAACCAAAATCAACTAATTTGGAATTCTTGAATAGGTTTAAAGGAATATTATATTTGTTTATCTGCTTAGTTGTATCCCATTGAATTTCACTGAAAATTGTCAAAAACACACTGATTTCGAACCAAAATTGCTATCCTATAATGGCAAGATTTAATTTTTTTTTGATTATGAAAATATTATAGTCCTAACCTTTTTATCACTTCTTCTTTTCCTAACAAGTAAATTACTTTTGGCAATTCTGGTCCTGATTTTTGTCCGGTTATTATTTTTCTCATTAGGAGAAATAAATTTTTAACAGGTTGGAGGGTTTGGCGAATATTTTCTTCTTTTCATTCCTTTAAGTTTGCTAACATTTTTTTCACTTCTTTTAATTGTTCTAATTGGGGCAAAGACAAGTTAAGTTCAATCTGCGACGACTCTTGTTCTTGGAAAAAGTATTTGCTTAAATCAATTAATTCTTGAAAGTAATTTAAGTGAGGACGAAATAATGAAGCGATTTTCCTTACTTGTCCTTTTTTTTCGGGTTCTAGATGGTATTTTTCTCCTAAAAATTTTCAAGAATATTCAGCAAAATCTTCCTCGCTTAATTTTTGAATATAGTAATTATTATATCAGTTAAGTTTTTCAATATTATAAACTGCTCCGCTAGCATGCAATCCTTGAAAATTGAACGCTTTGGTTGCCTCAGATAAGGAAAATATTTCTTGGATATTACCCGGATGTCAACCTAAAAAAAGTAAATAATTAACTATTGCTTGGGGTAAATAGCCTTTCTCTCGGAGTTGGCTAACTAATTGTCATTGGCTAGTTTCTTGGTCCCTTTTGGAAAGTTTTTTTTTCTTTTGATTAAGTATTATTGAGAGATGGGCGAAATGAGGTGGTTTTCATCCCAAACCCTCATATAAAACCAGTTGTTTAGCCGTATTAGGCAAATGTTCTTCACCTCGTAAAACATGGCTGATTTTCATGCAGTAGTCATCTACAACTACTGCCAAATTAAGCAAAGGCATACCACTTCCGCGACAGATAACAAAATCTTCAATATCTTGCCCGCCAAACATTACTCCACCCCTTACCAAATCTTTCAAGTGGTAATTTTTTTCTTGGGGGACACGGAAACGAATCACATACTCTTTTTGATTTCGGAGTAATAATTTAACCTCTTTTTCACCTAATTTTAAGCACTTTCGGGAATACTGATAATTGCTTCTTTCGTTTTTAGTTAAATATTCGGCTCTTTCTTTTTCTAATTCCCCTTTGGAACAAAAACAGTAGTAGGCTTTTTTTTCCGCCACTAATTTTTGGATATATTTTTGATAAATATCTAGCCTTTGGCTTTGACAATAGGGACCGAATTCTCCTTTTTGGAAAATTGATTCATTGGGTTTTAGACCAAGCCACAATAAGTCTTGATACTGCTTATCGATATATTCTATTTGATTTCTGGCAGTGTCGGTATCTTCAATTCGGAGAATAAATTGACCGTTATTTTGTTTCGAAAAAAGATAGTTAAAAAGGGCTGTTCGAACTCCACCGATATGTAAATCGCCGGTGGGACTAGGAGCGAAACGGGTTCGCACCTTTTCATTTTCTCTTTTCATGAACAATTAACGGACTTTCTTAGAAATCTTATTAATTTCTCGACTGATTGAAATGATAGCCAAAACCGCAAAGGATATGGGAATAAGATAACTTATATTAAACCAGACAGCATGGGATCCATATTTGGCTCGGTCTATCACTCTTCCTTTTTCAATAAAAACTCTTATCAACTCGCTACTGATTGCTAACACCCCAAATTTCTTTAAAGTTTCTTTACAATGCTCGTTCGATTCGGTAGCCTTAGTAATTATATAATCCCTTCGGCGGTCATCTATTCCTTCCGCTTTATTAATCGTATAACACATTTGGTTAAAAGGGGATTTAAGCAAGGAGGTAACTAAACCATCTAAACTAAACAATGCTCCTTGGAAAAGAATCACACAGATAACCAATACTCAATCTTCTTTATCTCATCCATTATCACTTATCAATTTAGTAATTGCCGGAGCTATCAAAAAGGCTCAAAACAAATAAGCAATTATATAAACAGAAATTAATCAAAAGAGGATTTTTCAATACTCAGTGAATTTATCATTTATTCTCTTAAAAGTCTTTTTATCAAGTTTTTTTATTTCTACTACTTTTTTTTTTTCTATTTTTTTGGCACCCATATTAAATAGGACAATTATATTTTAGCATTTTTTTAGACGGTTAGTTTTCAACGACCCTTGGCTCGGCGGGCAACAATTACTGAATAATTTTTTTTCATGCGGGCTAGAAAGCCATGTTTTCGCTTTCTTTTTTTATTCTTGGGTTGGTAAGTTCTTTTCATATCTAATAAAATTATTTTAATACATAATGTCATTGTGAAAACCTTATCGATTAAGAGAAGATCGGCAGTTTCGAAAAATAATCGTGGAAAAAGGACAAAAAAAAATTGACTCTAATTTCGCTATTTTTTTTAGTGCTAATAATTATAATAATTGTCGATTTGGTATTAGCATTCCCCAAAAATTAGTTAAACTAGCCACCGACCGTAATTTTTATAAGCGACAAGTGAAAGCAATGCTAATATCCCATTTAAAATCCAACTTTAAAAAAAAACCGAACAGTTGCCAAACCAGTGCGGAACATTCCCATTTTGATTTAGTTATCCTTATTCGAAATTCTTATCTCGAAAGCAACTTTCTGACTAATCAAGAAAGGCTATATAAGTTAATCTCTCTCATCTCCTTCAAAAAAACTAATAATATATATGACCAAAGGAAGAAAAATCCAACTATTTCAGATAATTAGAAATATTTTACGAATAATTTGTTTAATTACCTTTTTTCACTGAGTAATATTTACTAAGTACGCTAATTGTATTAATTACCATGAAAGTATTGGAGAAGAAAATATTGGTCAAGAAGACAAAAAAATAAAAAGGCACGATGAAAAAACTAACAAGTATAATAAAAATAAAGAATTAACCATTGCGGAAATTGAGGAGGACATATTAAAACAAATTGAAACCAAAACCGGCAAAAAAGATTTGCCTCGGAAGTGAGGAAAGGAAGAATTACCAAAATTAGTGGAATTGGATGGAGAAATAAAAGATTTAACCAATAAAACTAACCGGAGCAAAGCGGAAGAAAAAAACCTAAACCAAAAAAATGCTGATTATAAAAAAAACCTAGAAGAGGCCAAAAAAAACACAATCGAAAACATTCAAGTTCAATTAAAGAAAAATGAACTAACTACCACTGACCTTAACGATAACCGAGATTGAAAAGAAAGTTTAGGAAAAGACCCTTTGCGGTTTTTTTTTATTTCTCCTCTTGACAAAACTGCTAAATTAATAGGTTTACGAAAATCTCCTGATAACAGTTGGTTAATAGTAGGAGAAATTTTTTTTAAATTGATAGTGATAAAGTTAATTTATTATTTAGTTAGTTTTTGAGAAACTAGCGTGGCTCACGAAGGAATGGCAAAAATGCAAAATCCTTATCTCAGTGTAGAAGAAAAAGAAAAAATCCAAGAAGAAATTTCCCCTTTATTTAAATACATGTTCTTTAACGGTTTAATGATGTTTTTGTTTACTGCCGTGCTTCTTTTCGTTCATCCTTTTTCGATGGACAAAACTAGTGCTTGATATTGCGAACCGGCTAAGTGATACTATTGAGTATTACCAAGTCTTATCGCCAGTCTCCTTTCGATTGTTAGTGGAGAATTTATTCGGCAATGAAGAATATTAAGTTGACAAGAAATTAAAGGTTATTTGGCTAAAAGTTGAATAATGATTATAGTACTTAATTTACTTTTTCTAGTCTTAATTCCTTCCTTTTTTGGAAGAAATCAAGGGATTTATTGGTTTTGTTTTTGTAACGGAATGGCTGATTTTGCGGTTAATTTATTTAGTGTGTGGATTTTTGGAACGAAAGGAACAACTGGCAGGAAGCATAAATTAACTTAGGAAAGGAAAAAGTAAATGACAGTATAGTATCTTTCAAAAGTTTAAAAAAAACGAAACAAGTCTCTTAATTTTTGCTGATTTTTAGTAAAAAAAACAGGAACTGGTTGGAACTAATTTTAAATTCTTTTTGGACTAGCCTATTACTAACAATTGGGATTAGAAACTTGAATTATTAATTCCCTTTTCCCTTAAAATTAAATTATACTAATATAGATATGACACGAGCAAAGAATTCTCCTGTAACACACCGGCGTCGAAAAAAAGTTTTAAAACAAGCCAAAGGTTATTTTGGTTCCAAACATAAATTATTCAGAACGGCCAAAGAGCAAGTAATGAAATCTTTGGCTTATGCTTATCGGGACCGAAAACAACGAAAACGAGATTTTCGTCGATTGTGAATAACTCGCTTAAATAATGCTTGTCGGGAAAAAGGTCTTACCTATTCACGATTTATGTCGCTGGTTAAATTAGCCCAAATTAGATTAGACCGTAAACAGTTATCCGAAATGGCTATTGACCGACCGCAACATTTCGAGGCACTAATTAGTAAAGTTCAAAATCCTTGGTAAGAAAAAACAGTTTTTTAAATTTTTATTCTCTATAAATTAAGTTGAAAAATTTTATTACTATTTTTTTCTTTTTTATTGTTAGTTAGATAGTTTTCCGCTGGTTTGCTTGCTCCCGGGAAGAATATTTTTGTTAGCAATTTCTTCGGTTAATAATTAGACTTCTAGGGCAATAGTTAATTTTTCTTCCTCTTTTAACTGATTTTGGGTTAGTTCCTTTTATGTAGTTGGTTTTTAGTAAAAAAACAGAAAGGTAATTGTTAATTATTATATATAAAATAAGTTAATGATGATTGAGATACAAAAATAAGTTGAATAACTATCTAATTTCTAATAGTAGGATGCTATACTATTTAAGGTTAGAAAATAAATCAAAATAATATATGAGGACAGAAAATATAACGATAAAAAGGAATACTAAATAAGAATAACAAAAAAGCAATTAAGGAACTTGTTGGTATTCCATAAAAAATATGATATTTCCTTAATTGTCTAGGGCTAAACTAGTTAAATTAGCAAAAACACAAATAAAATAAAAGAAATATAAAAGTAAAAAAATATGGTAAATAATAATGGAATACCCATGGAGGTAAAAAAACCGGTAGAAACGGTATATGAAATAAAAAATGATTATGAAATTCCCTCTTTTGAGGAATTTATGAAAAATTATAGTAAGGATAAAGAAGTAGTTGATAGTTATGCGGACGAGTTTGAGAGTTATGAAGATGTACGAGTAAAAAGGACTTATTATGGTCCGGGATTTTGGAGTGAATTTTGGGATGATATTAAATGAGTTGTAAAACCCGTTGCTTCAGGGGCATTAGTTGCTGCTTCTGTGTTTCCTCCTACCGCTGCTATAGCTTTGCCGGCAACGGCTTTTGTAGCGGGAACAGGTTTGACAGTAGCAAGTGTAGCAAGTATAGGTCATACTGCCGATAGTAAGAAGTGGAAAAGTTTTGGAGAAGGTTTGATGGAAGTAGCAGTTAATGCTAAGGAGGCACACGATGTGATACACCCGAATTAAAAAATAGTGTTGTTTTTTTTATGAAGCAAAATTAAAAAACAAAAAAAAATTATCAAACGAAAGAAAACGCGAAAAGAAGTCTTTAAATTTCATTTTTTGGTTTCTTTTTCGCTAATCTTTTCGTTAACCTTTTTCTTTTATGTGCTTATGAATATTTGTTTTATTTGTTCAGGAAAAGAGTATTTCCTTTATTGATATTATTCAATATTATCGTTATTAGTTCTTTTGTTATTTTGTTTGTGTGGTGCTTTTTTTTATGCTTTTTTGCGAATAGCGGGACCGGGAGTAAGGGTTTTAAGGATGGATAGGTGGCATAGGTAAGTGGTAAGCAAATTATTGCTAAAAAGACCGCCCAAAACCCCCACTGTTTTTTTACAGTTATTTACTAGTTAGTTCTTGTTCGAGGGCTTTTCACTGGTTTCTCCCCCTTAGGAAGGATTTTTTTAGTAATTAGAGAGATGATTAATTTCAATAGTGAGATTATTCAATTCTTCTTGGGTATTGGTTTCGGAACGTAATTGGTTTTTAGTAAAAAAACAGAAAGGTAATTGTTAATTATTATATTACTCTACCAATAATTAATGATAGTTTAATTCTAGTCTAAACCCTTATTATTTAAGGAGTTTTGATTTTAAAATTCTATCACTAATTTCTAATTGTAGTATAAATATATAATAAGATGATTGAGATACAAAAATAAGTTGAATAACTATCTAATTTCTAATAGTAGGATGCTATACTATTTAAGGTTAGAAAATAAATCAAAATAATATATGAGGACAGAAAATATAACGATAAAAAGGAATACTAAATAAGAATAACAAAAAAGCAATTAAGGAACTTGTTGGTATTCCATAAAAAATATGATATTTCCTTAATTGTCTAGGGCTAAACTAGTTAAATTAGCAAAGTAACAATTTTAAAAATAAAAAATGTAATCAATAATAAAAAAATTTAAAAAAATATGACAAAAGAAAATATAATACCGGTTGTAAATCAACAAAAATTAGTTGAGGAAGTAAGAGAATTAGAAGAAAATTCGTGATGAAAAGAATATCAAAATTCAATTAACAAATCAAACTTATCTCCCTCTGCCCGGAGCAAGATAATTAAAAAAAGTGGCAGTGATTTTGTAAGTGAAAGAGGCAAAGGAGGCTATGGACCAATGCCGTTTGTTGATGAAGCAACTGCTTTGATAGTTGCTAGAACTGATGATATAATGAATAGATTAGAGGGGAAGTATCCAAATATCGTGAAGATTTTTAAACATAATCCAAAAGGCACTGTGGAATGATTAAAAGCTGAGGGTGCTTTGGTGGGTTATAATGTAGTTTATAAATTTGAGATTAATTTTGAAGGCAGAAATGATAGTGAGCAAAGTGGAATTAAGGCTTGAAAAGAATATAAAAATAAGATTAAAAATTATGTAACAGATATTTGTAAAAAATGAAAGGATAAAGTGGGAAATTTTGAGTCACGATTAAGACCAGCGATAGAGGCTTTATCTGAACATATACATAACGAACATGAAAAAAGTCATTCTTATTGACCTGAAATTGGTGGAACGATTGAAGGAAGAATTGAGTTGGATACTGGTGGTGTCCATGAAGCAGATTGTTATTACATAGTATGAAATTGTAGGGGTTGAATGGAGATAAAGGATGAGAGACCCAGAAAATATGTTTACAGGGCTGAGTTTAGGGGTGAACCAGATATAAAAATATTACAACTGGATGGTGTTTTGTTAGGAGATTTAAACAGAAGAGTTCTTCGTTTATCACTTAGCGGAAAGGAAGAAGCACTTAAAAGTGCAAAAGCGATGATAGATGCAAAGCAAGGAATGCGTGATCCGAGTTTATTAACCTGAGAAGATTTTAAATAAATATTATGAATAAAAAACTAAATCTTGAAAATTGAAAGAAAAATGTAATCAAATCATTTTCTAATTACTCGGTTCTTGATCAACCATTTCCTGAATGAGAAAATTTTTTAACTCTTAATTACTGGAAAGATTGAAGAAATAAAATTCTTGATTTTCAAACCGAAAAGGAATTAGATTTTTACGATGAAAGACTTAGAGTAATTGCAAATGTTATTTGGAATTGAAAAAAAAAGGGGGAAAAAGAAGCAAGATATTTGTTTATGAACCAATATCGTTATTGGTATGATGAAAAACATGGAGCTATGGAAAGAATGAGTCCTAACGAAATTATTAAGCAAGAAGAATTAAGACTCCAAAATATCAGTTGAGAGGACTGGCAAAACGAGTATAAATTTTCTTCTAAATATTTCAAAATTAAGGAATTGTCTACCGAAGAAATGCTAGATGACCCTTGGTTTAGTAAACAAATTGACAATCTTTTTGGTCTAGAAAACAAAAAACCATTCAAAGAAGAGGAAAAACCAGTTGATGAAAATGATAGTGGCAACGATTATAAAGAACAAAATAAAGAACAAAATAAAGAACAAAATAAAGAACAAAATAAAGAACAAAATAATAGTTTTAACCTTAAAGGCCTTGCTATTATAGTTGTAAGTGGAGCAATAATAGGATTATTATCTTTAATTCTATCTTTAAATCTCAAAAAGAAACTTAAAAAAGGATAAAATCTATTTGATAAATAATTATAAACACAAAATAATAATATTTTAAACATTATGACAAAAGAAAATTTAATACCAAAAACCGAAACGGTTTATAAAATAAGAGATGAAAAAGAATACCGAGTTCCCTCTTTTGAGGAATTTATGAAAAATTATGAGAATGATGAAAACTTAGAAAATAGTTATAATTCAGAATTAGAAAGTTATGGCAATTTAGGAGAGGGGGAAGGATATGGACCTTGTTCTTACAGCACATACGAAATTGATGGTAGGAATATAAATAAGTGCGGAAGTTTAGATTGCAGTTATTATCGGCGAATAGTTGGTAATAGAGTGGCTGGAACTACTACCGCTGCTGCTGGCATTCTTTCGGGCGTTGGTTTTTGAACTGCTTTGGCCGCAGCTCCTTTCACTAGTGGTGCATCATTAGCAATAGCAACAGGCTTAAGTGCTGCTGCTTCAGTTAGTGCAGTAGGAGGAACCGCTTTAGGGGTCGCTGTAACAACCGAAGCCTTAAATGAAGTAGAGAGAGATTTAAGGCGAAAATGAGAAAGGAAACAAACTTTACAGAATGAATTAAATAAATTAGAAAGAGAGTTGAGGGAAGCGATTGAAAAAAAGGATAGATGTAAAAGAGATAGTGATTACAGAAGAGAACAAGAAAAAATAAGGGAATTAGAAAGTAAAATTGAAAACATTAAAAGGGATTTACGCGATTGTTAATTATTGATTTTGATAAGTTCTACAAAAAAAAGGGGGGGTTAAACCCCCCCCTCATAATTGAACTTAATCCTTTGAGTTTTTTACCCTCAATTTTCGTTTTTTAGGAATTGTAATTATAAAATAATATAATAATACTAATATGACACCAGAACAAAAAAGAAAAAATAAAGATTATATTTTAAAAAATTTAGATAAATACGTTATTGATAGTCGTCAAAATTTTTTTAATGACGAGGTTGAAAGGGATGAACTTGAATATTCTTACATTGACAAGGATGCTCTGCCGTATGGAGCCTTTGAAGAGATAAGAGACAAGATATATCGAAAGATTGTGGCGAACAAATATGACTGAGAAATAACTGATAACAATAGTGAAAGTTGACATATTTTTTCTACTCCGGTTTATCAGCACAAAACTACTAATATGACTTACCATAGTGCTGGTTTTACCTGAACACAAAATAACCACTTAAAATCGATACTAAAACAAAAAATCAAAAATAATATACCTACTGATAATCCCTCTCCTCGTCCCTGAGATAATGATAGTAATGTGGTTAATCGTCGACGACAAACTGCCATTGGAGAGATTGAAGACCAATTTGCTATTTCTAATATAACTATTGACGAAATTGAAAGTTTGGCTCGGAACTATGTATCAATTGAAAATGTGGGACGAGAGAGAAGAGTTTGACCTCTTTCGGAATGAAAATCTAAAATCAACCGCCTAAGCGAAAGTTCGGAAATAAGCGATTTTCAGTGTAGGATTCAAGGTTTCATTCATGCGGTAGTCACCCGCCGTAATGAAGGGGATTATGAAACAAAGGTTTCTTTCGGTTCTGACTGATATGATAATTGACAAAGGGATAACAATGATTACTTGCGTAGAATGAAAGAAGATAGCGATAACTTTTGACGTGATTTTGACCGTCGTTGCCGGGCAGATAGAAATAAAACTCAAAGGAATGAAAATTGAAGAGAAAAATATTTGCGAGAAAAGAAAGAGGAAGCGATTGACAAAATTGAAGAATATTTGATTAAAAAAAATATTTCAGAGGAGGAATTGAATAAAAAAATAAGGAAGAGTGATTGACGGCAAGAAATTAACAAATTTTCGGATTATTATACTGAAAGGATACTTAGAAAGCAGTTCTTTTTAGAAGATGAAATTGATAAATTAAGTCGCCGTTTTACTTGTGCCGGTTGCGGTCGAAACCGAGATGATATTTATTTCCCCCACGAGGAAGATGGTAAAAAATTTTGTATTGATTATCTTTGTTGGGAAAAATACCGCAAGAGCAATGGCAAGCCTGAGTTTCATTATAAATCCCAAGTAAAGGATAACACTAGAATAAGAGATTTAAAAAGTTTTTTAGAGGAAAGAATAGGAGAAACGGAATTCAGAACGAACATCCGATTTGGTCAAACGGAAAAGATGGTTGGAAAAAATCCACTTGCTTTGCTTTTAGAATGAATGCGAAGAGAAGGAATTACTGATATCTCTCTCGATAACAATAAATTAGTAATCAATTTTGGTAATCGAACAAAAACTCTCGATGATAGCAATTTAACTCCGGAACAAGTGCAGTTGAGAGAATTTTTAAAGAGCAATTCGTCAAAAAAAAGTTTGCGGAGGGATGAATTAGAGCAATTCACTAGTTTACCGAATGGTTCGAGAGATAATGAAGGGAATAACAAGGCTGGAATAATCGCCGCCCTATTGGTAGCCGGATTAATCTTTGCTGTGATAGTTGGATTTGTGGTCGGTCAAAGAAAAGAAAAAAATATTAAATAAACCTTGGTGCTGCTGAAAGTTTGGTTTTGAATTAAAAGATTTTACCGAAGGGTGCGGAGCATTTGAATTCCGGCTTCGGCAGTTCCGGGTGTTACGGATTCCCAAGTTTCTATTAATATCATTAATGATAAGATAAAATTATTAAAAGGGACTAGCAAAAACTCAATTAAGGTAGTTGCCTACCAAAAATATTTCGATTTTTTGGAGAGATTAGGTTTAAGAGAAGAATTTAGTGTTATTACTACCCAAGATGATTTGACTTTGCGTGGAGTTAGCATTCAACCCGTTTTAATAAATGATAATAATAGGAAAGTAGTTATTTTTTGCCATGGGGTTACGAATAATCGTTGGTCGCTGTTTTACACTATGCATCTGGCTTTACAAAGGGGTTATCGAGTAGTTTCTTATGATGCTCGCAATCATGGGCTTTCCGAAAATTTTTCGACTAGTTTAGGTCAGACCGAAGCCTGTGATTTACAAGACGTTATTGAGTGAGTAAAAAAAAAGTATCAACCGGAGAAAATTGGTCTTTATGGTTTTTCGATGGGAGCGGCTACTTGTCTTTTTTGGATAAGTTTTTTCGGCGGGGCTGGTAATTCCGAAGTAGTATTTGCTATTTGCGAGTCTCCTTACGATGATGCGGCAAGAGGGATTAAAGAGGCTTTGGGAAGCGGAATCAATTATTATTGAAAAGAGTTTTTTTTAAGCAAAATAATCACTGAAAAACTTCATTCTTCCCGGGAAAAACTAGAAAAAATAAATCCCTACTTGGCTTTGCCCCACCAATTACCGATTAAATTATTATTAGTTCATGGTTTACAAGATGTAGTTGTCAATTGGCGAGCTTCTTTTCGGCTTTGGTATCAATTAAAAAAGGATAAATTAAATAAAGATAAGATAAATCTCTATCTTTTTAAGCATGCTGACCATGGCGAACTTCCTTTCATTGGCGATTATGTTCCGAATAGTGTAAAGTGAAAAAATCGCAAGAGAAATTCTCGCTACACTTTTAGCGGACTTTTTTGTAATTATTTACAAAAAAATTTGTAGTGATTGGTCGGTAAAATAAATACGATTTATATAATTTATTTCCAAAAAAGTTATGGTTTTGTTAAGCATAAAAACAGCAGAAAACTCCAAACTGAAAAAAATATCTGTAATTTTAATTAATTCTCTGCTAAAAACAATTAGCGAAAAATTGAATGGATACCACTTTTTTTATAACCCAGGACAGATTAATTAAATTTTCTAATATTATAATTTATTTTGGTTTGGTACGGGATAAGGGACTCGAACCCTTAGAAACTAGATCCTAAATCTAGCATGTCTACCAATTCCATCAACCCCGCTTTTGTGCTTATTTTTTAAACTGTTTAAGTAATTTGACTGTTTCGGAACTCCGAGGACAAACCAAAATCTTTTCTATTACTAGTTTGTTCCAATTTCAGTGTTTTGCTTTAACCCCCTAGTATTTTTTCGGCGAAATCTATATCGACTAGTCTCAACAGAAAAAAATTACTTAATAATAAAAATTCCTAAGCACAATTCTTAATCCATTATAAAATCTATTCTGCGACACTATGACTGTTATAACTAAAAGAAATTCCGGTTGAACTTTTGTGATGAATTGAATCGCCTTTATGAATCGGTCAATGACAAGTATGACAAACTAACTATTATCTCCTTCATTTTTTTTTGTGCCTTTTCGTAATAAAAATATCTTAAAAATTATGGTGTCCTGTGGAGGGATCGAACCTCCGACTTTCTCCTTAAAAGGGAGACACTCTACCGCTGAGTTAACAGGACTTATTTTAATTTTTTATTTCAAAGCCTAAAATTCAAACAACTAGTAGAACCAAATTGAGAATAAAAACGCCAATTACACTCCTAATACAAAATATCCAACTGGGAAATCATTTATATTCTTTGTTAAGTAAATGCAAAGATATTACTAGCAAACTTATTATGTTAAATATATTAACAGCAAAAGTTAATTTCTTGTTATTCATATCTTTTTCTTGGCTGGGACGGCTGGGATTGAACCAACGATCTTCGGAGTCAAAGTCCGACGTATTACCACTTTACCACGTCCCAAAACTAATATTTATTATTTTATGTTTACTAATAATCGTATTTCTTACCGGTTAATTCATCCAAAGCCAAAAAGGCGGCTCGAATAACATTCAATTTATTTCGTGAACCAATTATTTTAGCACTGACATCTTTAATTCCTAGATATTTAAAAATTTTACTAAGTACTTCGCCGGCTTTGATGCCACTGCCTGGGGGAGTAGGTTTTAATATTAATTTAGTAGCATTATACTTAATTTCTATATCGCGAGGGATAGTGCGAGGTTGGTTAGGAAAATAGGCGATTAACTTTTTTTGGGCTTTTTGAAAAGATTTTCGAAAAGCGGTCATTGTTTCTTTGCCTCCTTCGTGAGCATACGAAATAGATTTTTTATCTATGTCCTTTATTAAGACTAAACTAGCCGAACTAAACTGACGACCACCTTTGGTTACTTTCACCGGTCGGTAAGTCTTTAATATTTCCCTTTCAAAACTAAAACGTGGTAATCTTCTATCATTTTTTACTCACTTTTTTGGTTCTTTGGTAGTGGAATAATTTGTTTTTCTTTCCGCCCCTAATTTAATTCTTTCGGGGTTATTTTTATCCGTCGTAGGGACTTGATTACTTGTTTCTATTTTTTCCATTAAAAATTAATTCCTAGTTCTCGCATTGTCTGACAGAACACTGCTATTTTGCCGTGATAAGGACGACCATTACGGTCAAAAACTATTTTTTCTTTGCCTTCTTTTTTTAATTTCTCGGCAAACATTTGTCCCAGTTTCTTAGCATAGTCTTTATTTTTTCGCGAGTAATTTTCATTTTTTTCGATAAAATCAACCGTAGAAGAAGAAAGCAAAGTATTACCTATTGTGTCATCTATTGCTTGCACTCGCAAATAGCGATTAGATTCACTCAAAACTACTCGTGGTCTTTCTGAGGTACCCTTAATCAACTTACTTCTTTCCTTTCTTGTTTGTTGACGAACTTTTTTATCGGGTTTTTTTGACATATATTATTATTTTATTAATTCAGAACATTTTATGGTGGAATATCTCCTCATCTTATTTCTAAAAGCCTTAAAATATTAATATCCTAACTAAGTTTTATATGAAGCAGAAAAAATATCATTTAAAAATCGCCATTTATGGGTATGATGTGGCAACTACCGAATTAGCCACCCACATGGTTATTAAAAAGATTTCCCAACTTAAATTAAATTTTGGTCTAGTTTCACTACCAACCAAGGAAAAAAAAATCACGGTTTTAGTTTCTCCTCATAAACACAAGAAAGCACAAAAAAAAATCGAGCAGGAAACTCACAAAAAGGCAATTTTCATTGCCGATATTTCCTCCACCGATTTAGAAGTTTTAAAAAGTTTAAAAACTCCTAATACTGCTTATCTCGAATTTAAACCTTTTTTTTAATTTTTTGATTTTTCTCAGTAGGTATGGAATAATTTAACTGGGATATAATAGGACTTATTTCCAATTCGGAACTTTTGTCGATTAGTGGCAAAGGTTCTTTTAGTGACTCGCCTTGCTTGTCCTGAACGTGAACGATTATTTCCAACTAATGGTTTACTTTTTTTACTTAACAATTTTTTTATTTCTTTTTCTTTCATATGCAATTTTTAGAATTTATAGGGAAAAGTTTTTGATATCTGCTTCTATTTTTTACTTTCGCCTCTATTATATTATTTTTTATTTATTTCCGAAAATTCCGAGGGAATAAATTGCGACTAGAAAAGTTGCTTCAAAAAAAAGAGGAGAAAAAACTAAGCGAGAAAGAAAGGAGTTTAAACTTAGCTAATAGTAAATTAGTTGCCAGCATTGAAAAACTTAAATCGTTGGAAAGGAAATTAGAGCAAGAAGAAAAAAGGATAAACAGCCGTGCCGACCAATTACTCCGGAAGGAAGAATTATTTATTCAGCAACTTTCATTAGTTTCGCAAAAAGAAAAAAAAGTTCATTCCGAAATGGAAAAAATGGAGAAGATGGAAGAGAGATTAATAAATGAATTAGGAAAGATAATTCCCATGAATAGCGAGGAGGCTAAAAAAAATCTTTTCGCTCTGTTGCGGGAAAAAGTAGACCAAGACTTAGAAAAATACAAGGAACAAAAGTTTAGAAAGATAACCGAAGAAGTTAAAGAAGAAGGAAATAAATTAATTTGTTCAGCTTTGGAAAATTGCAGTTCTGAGTTAGTTTTCCCCCGCACCACTAACACCTTACAAGTAGAAAATCGACAAATTATTAGTAAAATAATTGGCCGAGAGGGAAGAAATATTAATGCTTTTCGGAGAATTACCGGAACAGAAGTGATTATTGATAAAGAAAGTGATGACTTAACTATTCAGATTTCTTCTTTTAATTCTTTGCGGCGCGAAATAGCCTATCAAACTTTAATTTCCCTAATCAAAGAGAAAAAATTTTCTCCGGAACAAATCGAAAAAACCTACCACCAAATGAGTTCAAGAATCGATGAACTTATTACTGAAAACGGCAAAAAAGCACTAAGGGAGTTAGAAATTACCGGAGTTCACCCCGAATTAATTAAGCATTTGGGCAAACTAAAATACCGCACTAGTTATGGGCAAAATGTTTTACAACATTGTTTAGAAGTAGCCAAACTAACTGGAAATATTGCTGCTGAATTAGGCTTAGATGTTATTTTAGCCCGACGGGTTGGTCTTTTTCATGATATCGGAAAATCAATTGAAGACAATGGGGGTTATTCCCATGTAATAAATGGGGTTAATTTGGCTAAAAAATACAAAGAACCGGGAGCCGTTATTAATGCAATCGCTTCTCATCACCATGACTTTCCGGCGGACAATTTTTATTCCTTAATTATTTTAGCAACTGATAGACTATCCGCTGCCCGACCTGGCGCTCGTGGTTATCAGTTAGAGGCTTACATTGAAAGAATGGGCGAATTGGAAAAAATTGCTAGCCAATTCCCGGGCATTAAAAAAAGTTATGCCTTTCAAGCCGGACGGGAATTTTGAGTAATTGCCGATGCTGAAAAACTTAACGATTATCAAACTTGGGAAATTTCGCGAAAAATCAAGGAGAGAATTAAGGAGAGTGTGGTTATTCCGGGTGAAGTAACCATTTACGTTGTTCGAGAAAAAAAATTCATTCAGAAACTAAATGATGGAAAAATTCGAGAAAATACTTATCCCGAATTGATTGGGCAAACTATTTCAAGAGAAAGCAGGCAGATTTCCGGACAAAAATTAAACCAGAGAAAGAAGAAAAAGGTCAAGAAAAAAACCAAGGGGTAGAAAACTATGCCACCAAAAAAAATACTGAAAAATTTAATCAAGAAATTCAAATGACCTCTTTTTGGACTAATTATCCTCGCTTCCTTAGTGAATTATTTGACTTTTCTTATTCGGTTTAACTTACGAACTAATTTATATCATTGAAAGTATGGTGGGAAGTTTTATTTTCTTTTTGGAAAAATTTCCACTACTGAAAAAACAAACAACGGACAAATTTTTGTTGACTGAAATAAATTACTTTTAATCCTTTTTTTGCTCTACTTTCCGCTTAAAATAATCATTCAATTTACCCTTGAATATTTTCAAAAATTATCTGAGAGAAAAGCACGAGTTTACTTATCCAAAAGCCTGCTTAATTTTGCGACTGAAAACAGAGATTTGATAACTGTAAATTCTTCTGAGAAGATTTATATCATTAACCACAAAATACCTGAATTAACCCGACAATTTTTTTCCATTCCAATTAGTTTATTTAGTGCTTTTTCAGTACTCGGTTTAGAAATTTTTGCTTTCGTTTTCCTAATTAGAAACAATAATTTATCAGAATTGGTTCCGCTAATTATTTCCTTTTTATTTGTTAATTTAGTTTGGTTAGTTTTTTTTAATCGCTTCACCCAAAAAGCCAACCGACTGGAAAAGAAGAAAAGAAAAAAATATCAAAAAGAAGAAGAGACTAAGATTAAAATTTTTTTGGAAAATTTGAATTCTGATAGCAAACCGGTAAGTTTAAGTGAAATATATACGTTGTTAGACCAAAATACTAAAAAAATGTCTTCTTCTTTTTTTCTTGCGGTGCTTGCTGAACTACCTAATTTTATAATTCCGGGAATTACTATTCTTTTTTTGTTTCTTTATTACCAATTTTGGCAAGGAGGAAAAGGAGGCTTAGACTGGAATGCTTATTTTGTCGCTTATAATCTCCAACGAATTCTTTCCGAGACTAAAAAGGCAATTTATTGTTCGAATCAAATTTATAGTTTCCGGCAAAACTATTGAAAAATAATGAGGTTTTAATCGTGGGTGAATTACAAATAAAATAAAGTATAGTTAAAAATATCTAATGTATGTTAAGTGATTAAATTTTGTTGGAATTCTTTCAAAAGTAAGTATTTTGTGTGCTTCTTTTTTATTTACCTCTGGACAAAAGGAAAGGCTAATATATTAGACTTATTAGCAATCATCATACTTTTTTTATTTCAGTTTATTTTGTTTGGAAAGTTTATTCTATCTAAAATTATTATAAAGTTTGAGAAGAGTTCCAATAAAAATGATTAGTACAAAATTGCATATCAATGCTTTTTTTATTATAACGTGTCTTATATATAATTACTTAAAATAATATTAATAATATAATGAAGCACTCCCGTCGTTATCGAACAGTTAAAGAAAAAATTAATAATAATTATTATCCATTAGCCCAAGGTTTAAGTTTTCTTCAAGGAAATAATCCCGAGAAATTAAAAAATATTAAAGTAAGTTTTACTTTGAACTGACTCCCACAAAAGAAAAAAACTCCGTTCCGAGGAAAAATAACTCTGCCTTATTCTTGACCTAACAAAGGTAAAATAGCAGTGGTTAAAGATGATTTGCCGGTTGACACAGTGAAAAGTTTAGCGGAAAATGAAAAAGTGGAATTATTATCAGTGGAGGAAGTTCACCAAAAAGTAATAACTGAGGATAAAACTAAACTCAAAAAAAGAACCCAATGAGGATTCGAAAGGCTAGTGGTACATCCTCAAAATGAAAAAAAATTTAGATTGCCCGAAAAATTACCTCCTAAATTATTCGGTTTAATTGCTCGAAAAGTTTCCTTAAATGAGAACATAAAAGAGGAAATCGAAAAGTTTCAAAAAGGGGAAAAAGAACTTAAAACTGATAGGAGCGGTAATATTCAAGCGGTAATCGGAAAAAGCAATTTTAGTTTGGAACAATTAACCGAAAATTACCAAGCGATCTATAATAAAATAAATGTTTTGCGACCAGCCAAATGAAAAGGTAATCTACTGAAAAAAATTACTATTTCAACTACAATGGGACCAGGAATTAAAGTTTCAATATAACTTTTTACTGATAACCAGGAGCAATGTTTACCATTAGAAAAGCCCACAGTTAATTTTTTTGAACCGAATTTGGTTTACCTTAAAATTAACTATTAGGAAAATATTATTTTGGTAAACATTCCCTACCGAGATTAGTAGTGCCGAAGCAAGATACCGATAATTAATGTCAGTTGATTTTTATTTAATCCTCACTATTCTAAGGGATTCAAGTTTTAAATTACTGACATTTAATCCTGACTTTGTAATAAAAAAAGAATATATGGTAATTGCTCAAACTTGGTTAGATAGAAATATTCCTCTTAATCAGCGAAATAATATTGAAGAACTTCATGTTTTTCCTAGCGAAATAGAAAGCGATGAAGCACACCACATCCTCTACCAAAATCGCCCCAATCGGCACTACATTCCTTTGGCAAGTAGTCTGACCGGAAAATTAAATTTATCTACCTTTCCGAGGTTAAGAACATTAAATATTAATAAGCAGTTCATCAATCGTTTAGTCCTAACTAACTGTAATCGTTTGAGAATTGTAGGTGTGGACTGAAACATGTTGAGAAAAGTCACTTGACCAACTAATCCTTTAAAATTGAAATTCATTGATCTATCTAATAATAATTTTCCAGCGAAAGATTTATCTGAATTCAATCGTTTCCGCAAATTAACTTCTTTATTTTTAGGAACTGAAAGACCTGAAAGAATAAATCAAGGAGTTTATAATCGATGGAATGGTTCTTTGTCTAATATTAGCAATTTAACCAAATTAGAGGAGTTGGATATCAATGCCACTGATGTGAATGATGGTCTAATTGATTTACCGACTAGAAAACTGCGTCACTTTACCTTTGGAGACTGTGGAAGAACAGAGGCGGAGGTAAATCGGTTAAAAGACACTTTATCAAATTACATAGAATTAGAGGGCGAAGAGTTAGAAAAATGAGCCGTTTCAGATGAAATTAGCGATGAAGATGCTGCAGATAATAAAGTATTGGAAATTATTGTCTGACAAAGAGAGCAGAGAAGACAATTGCAAGCCCAAGTCGTTCAAACAAGTTAATTTTGTCCTAAGTTATAATACTACCGTATGAATAATTATTTTCCGCTTTTTATATCACCCAATATTACATTTTTCATAACTCGGGTTAGGTTCTATTTGGAATTCTTTAATCTTATTCCTTTTCACTAATACTGATATTTTGAAAAAGGCATTAAGGTCAGATATGAACTTCATAGTAAAAAATAAAGTGAATATGAGAATGTAAAATTTAATATTATGGTGAATGCCCAAGAATAATTGGATAAAAATTAAATAACATTACTTCTTTAAACATTAAAAGTCCACAACTGAGAATGCTTGGTTTTTCTTTCAATCAGGTAAAATTTAAAGTTAGTAAAAGAAAAGAATGTAAGGTTAGTTTACTACTCAACTCCTTATTTTCCTAAATTGAATCCAGCGCAGAATTGTGGGGTTAAAGTTTTTCGGAATAATATTGAGATTTTTCCACATTCATTTTACACTTCTAAATAAGAATGTTATTTAACCTTGTCTTTGTTTGTGCTTTGGATTTACGTGGCAATAAACAAAACGACATCCTTTTCGCTTAATGACTTGGCAATCACGACACATTATTTTAATGGAACTACGGACTTTCATAATAATATAATTTTAGGAGATTTATACCACCCACGATAATTTTAGGGCGATATAAATAATTAATGTTTTTTTAAACTTGCTATTAATAAAGTTCACTGCTTAAAAATGCCGGTAGTTGATTTTTTCTAGTATTGTAATTCCGACTTTTAATTCAAAACCTTCGCTAAGGGAGATTCTAAAAATTTTTTCTTATTCTATTTTAACTTAAACCGCTAATTTCCAAATTATCGAGGATTTTTTAGCCGCCGAAGGGTTTAATTTTCAATTGCTTCCAATTCTTCCAAAGTTCGTTCTTTTTTTCGGAAAATTAATCAAACCACAAAACCTACTAACACTAAACCGCCCACCACTATTGTTCCCACCAATCAAGGTCTTTCATACCATTCAGGTTGGGTTAAACTAGGCTTGGAAGAAAATCTTTTGTCTAAATTTTCAAAATAATCTTTTAAAAATTCTTCTCCTAGATTAAGTTGAGGATTTGCCCCAGAAATTAAACTAGTCGGTGAAACGAAGCCTAAGGAATTTCCTTTCTCGGCTGAACCATTGTCATTTTCTCTTTCTCTTTTGGCAGTTGCTAATCTTTGATTTATTTGTTCTTCGGTAGCGGTCGAAATCGAATCATTATCCCCACCAGACAACTGATTTAAATTTTGAACAGCGTCCTGAGTCAGTTTTAAGAGGCGACTTTCCCGACCTCGTAAAATTTCGATAATTTGAACGTGATTTTTAACTCCTCATTTTCACCCCGTTTCAAAATTTCCTGCTTTTGGAATCGAATTTAATAAATCGGGTTTATCCAAAACTATCTCCGCAAACTCACTGATTAACTTAATTATTTCTGCCGCTGCATTTTCATCAAGCAAGGCATCTGCCAAATCTATTCCAGCGGTAATTAAATCTTTCAAAGAAGGACAATAATCTAACTGTCGAGTCACCTCATTGTTTTTGTTAACTTGGTTCCAAAATTCACTTTTGCAGATTCTTTTTGCAACTCTAATTTCTTCGGGGGATAAATTTTTGATTAAACCTAGTATTTTTTTGGTTTGGGTCAACTTTGTTTCTTTGGTACTTATTGGTAAGAACATTATTTTACCTAATAATTTTATTTCCTTATATTTATCAAGCAAACTTGTCTCCGCTTTATAAGTCAAAGCAGGAACCGGTTTTCGAGCCGCCATAATTCTCATTTGTTTAGTAATTAATGGCAACAACCGGTTAATTCTTTGTTCTACTGGAACTTTTTCTTTTTCGCACTTCACCGCTTCCATAATAAATTCTTCATTAAAGAGAGCCGTCACAAAATTGACCAAGGCTCGCGAAGATAATTTGAGTTGGTTTTTTCATTCTTTCGGAATCTCATTCTCTCCTAATTTTTCTATATTTTGGTCAAGGAACTTGTTAACCGCTTCCTTTCCAATGATTTTGAAATTTCGTCAGTCTTCGAGACTGAAATTTAAGGTAATTTGTTCTAATTGTTGACTTTCTAGTTTGCTGATTTGTTTACCAGAAAGCATGTCATTGATAATTTTTCGAATATATTCGTGATTGCTAATTGTATTTGCCATATAGTTTTTATTTTAATGATAAAGCCTTTTTAGTGACTTCTAAATCTATTTTACAAAAAAAAAAAACAGTGGGGGTTTTTTATGCCTCTGACCCTATTTTGCCGAAAGATTTTCACTAAATTAATATTAAAAATTACCTCTTTTTTTAAATTTTTCTGCTAATTAAAACCTATTTATTTTTGCTTTGAATTATACTTATTCATAATTTTTTCCAAACTGTTTTCTTTTATTCACTCCTCCACACTATCCAACAGAGGAGCCAGAATCCCGTTGAATTGTTTTTTTTCAGTGGTAGTCAATTTTCCCAAAACTCAATCATTAAGCCTAAAATTACGGTCATACCCAATCCCGACCCGTAAACGCCCAAAATCTCTGCTCCCTAATTTCTGAATAATATTTTTTAGTCCGTTGTGTCCGCCATCCGAACCCTGCGGGCGATAACGAAAATTCCCCGAAGGTAGGGCAATTTCGTCGTAAATCACCAGCAAATTTTCCAAAGGAATGTTAAAATAGTTCCGGAAAGCCGCCACACATTCACCCGAATTATTCATATAAGTTTGAGGTTGGAGGAGAATATATCCAGAAGTTCGGTAATATAAACCATTAAACTTTTTTTGGTTCAGTTCAACCTTTAATTTTTCGGCTAACTGATTGATAATTATAAATCCTAAATTATGCCGTGTATTTTCATACTCTTTGCCAGGATTTCCCAAACCAACGATTAATTTCATAATTAAAATTTGCTAACCAGAGCCGGGTCATTTTTTTTCAGAAATTCCCGGGCTTCTTTTTGGCTGGGGAAAATATTAACCTGTGAAGCGGGTAAAGCCAAATGAGAAGCGTTCGGCAGAGTTTTTACATCTAAAAATCAATTATGGTGCGGATTTTGGGGCGGTATTTTTTCAAAAGAAATATAAATTTCTCCCTCCCTAATTTTTTGGTTCAATTTTTCTGCCGTTCATTTTGGGTCAGGACTATAAAGATGAATAAAATTCTTGGTTTTATTGCTCAATTTAGTTAAATGCTGACTTAGTTGCTGACTTAGTTCTCTAAATCCCTTTTTTTCTCTATTTTCACTGTCTCTAAGCACACAATCTCCGGGTTTTAACTCCCCTAAATTAAAGACAAAATATTTTTGTAAATCTAACCTTTTTTCTAACAAATATTTTTCTAATTCCTGCTCTTGGGAAAGAGAGGACGAATTAGCCTTATTTTGAGTTAGTTTTCAAATTATAAATCCTCCTCCCAGTAGTAAAGAAAATACAATTAATAAAATAATTATTTTTTTTTTCATATTGTTTACTAGGCTATTTTTTTTTTTTTTTTGATAATTTTACCACAATTCAACTATAAATTTTGATTTGGAAATTGATTCGCTTACTAATTTAGCAATTTAAAACAGGATATCCCTCTAAAACATAATTTATTGTTATCGAATATAGTTAAATTGATTAACTGGGTTGCTATCGAAAATTAAATTCGGTGATATTAATATTTTTAGTTTTTTATTCATTACTTATTATTTTTGGGTTCGTTTTTTCCGAGAAAAACCAAACTTATCCTAACCCAAAAAAAAAAGAAGTTTATATTACAAATTCAGAATTAAATGTCAGTATTTTAAACTTTCGATTCCTTTATGAGTAAGGAGTCAACTTACGAAAATTATTGACACTGTAATAATTTGGCAAAAGAAAAAAGCACCCTAAAATTTGGGCAGAAATCTCAGTTAACTCGGTTTAATTTACTCAACTCCTCAAAAAAAATACTATTAAAAGGATTCATTAAATATTCTATTATAAATTTTTCTCCTAAAAAAATTATGAAAAAACCTAAAAAACGCTTACAACAACTTCCTTCGCAACAACTTTTACAAGAAATTCAGGAATTTATTGCTACCCGCCCCAACCACAAAAGCGAGCGAAAAAGGTGGATTCATTATTGTTTATTTCTCTTATGCTGAAAAATCGGGCTTCGGGTAAGCGAAGCCATTAATTTAAACTTAGAATTGAGATACCCAGAACCAGAATATAGCGATTTATATTTACTGCGTGGCAAAAGAAAGAAAGAGCGTTATGTTTACATTGCTCCGGAAATTGTGGAAATATTAAAAAGTAATAATTGGCAACCGGAGCGAACTAACCGGCGGGATTTTTATGAATTTCTAATTCGGGTGCGTCATGACTTACAAATTAGTTCGAATGTCGAACTGGCTCCCCATACTCTCCGAAGATGCTTTGCAACTTATAATTTGCTTGCCGGAATGCCCTTAAATATCCTCCAAAGAATACTCGGACACAGCCGAGTTTCCACTACCGCTTTATATATCAAAGATAGCGACTTAGCCAATTTATTAAAGTTCAAGCCAATTTAAGTTTTTTTTTGTAAACAAAAATGGATAATAAAGAAACCGGTCTGCGGGATTAGTTTTTTCCGAGCAAAACCATTTAGAAAATTCAGATTTTTTTGTTATTCTCGGGAATTTTTCTTTCTAATTTACATTTTGTTAAGTTTTTTTGTTAAACAAATTAGGTTAAAGTGCTTCGGCGGTGGATTTTACGATGGAAATTAATGGCATAGCGGTGAACTTCTTCCTGACAATTAGCCAAAAAATTTTTAATTTTTTCTTGGTTTTCGAAATCTAGTTCTTTTAAATTATTAGTGATTATTTTAGTGGTTTGATGCTTTTCGTCCTTGACAAGGCCGATTACTGCGGCGGCTAATTTTAACTCCTTCAAGGCTTGTCAAACTGCTTTCACTTGTTCTCTTGCCCCATCTACTATTATCAAGTCGGGCATCTCAGGTTGAAAATATTTTTGATAATGGATAAGACAAGCGAGTTTTATGCGAGAAAAATCGCTTTCTAATTCAGTTTGGTTTAGTTTATATAGTTTGCTTTTGGTAAGATTCTTTTCCCCATTCAAAAAAACCAAAAATCCGGCCACTATGTCTTGTTTATAAAGGTTGGAAATATCTAAACATTCAATATAGTTAGGCAAAGGAATAGACAAAAATTTGCTTATTTCTTCTAAAACTTGCCCTTTGTTAGCCTGTTGGAACTGATTTCAATAATTTTTTTGTCAAACTTGGCGAGCGTTTTCTTGGGCTAAATTAATTATTTCTTTTTTCCGACCTCGGCGGGGAATCTGAATCGAAAATTTAAACTCTTCGGCCAGTAATTCAATTTCGGTCTGTCTTTGGGGAAGATAAAATGTTCGGGGTGGTAAATTGTTTTGATAAAATTGATAAAGATAAGTTTCTAAGGCCTCCTCTTGGTTAGTTCAGATTGGAAATATTGCCTCATTAGTGGTAGTTAATTTGCCGTAGCGATAAATAAGGAGAAAAAAAACTACCATATTTTCTTGACTATGGATTCCTAAAAAGTCACAATCTTCACCTTTGGCAAGGTCGACATTTTGTTTGCTAGTAAAAAAATCAATATTATCCAGTATTTTTTTTTCCTTATGGGCGATTTCGAAGGCTAAACTAGTAATATTTTTTCGGAGCGAGTTTTTGATTTTATTTTTTATTTCTTGGGTTTGTCCGCGAAAAAATTTTCTTACTTCTCTTTTGACGTTTTCATAATAGTCGTTATCTACTTCTTTCCAACAATGACCGGAACATTGAGAAATAGTATAATAAAAACAAGGTTTTACTAAATTACCTTTACATTTGGCAAGCGGGAACAGCCTTTCAAGTAATTGTAGGATTTCCCGGGCTTTGCTGCCATCGGGAAAAGGACCAAAATATTCTCCCGCTTTTTCGCGATTGATTTTCCGCAGCACTTTATAGCGTGGATTTTTTTCGCTGGTAATCACCAAGTAAGGGTAATAATTGCTATCTTTTAGCAGAACATTAAAACGCGGCTGATATTTTTTAATTAGATTTTGTTCCAAAATTAAGGCTTCTTTAACATTATTAGTAATAATAGTATTAAAATGGTGGATTTGTTGAAAAAAATAATTATCTCGCGAGTTTTGAAAATAACTACTAATTCTCTTTTTGAGATTTTGGGCTTTGCCAACATAAATTATAGTTCCTTTTTTATCCAAAAACAAATAACACCCCGACTGACTGGGAATTTTAGCAAGCATTAATGAAGAAATAAACATTATAATTGGTGTTGAGACTATAAGAAATATTTTGTCTTTCTCCCAAAAATTAATCTAAAATTAGCGAAATCTAGTATTAAGAAAACTTATAAAAAAGTAATCTATTGCATGGAGCATTAACCGAACGCGGCGTCGGGGTGGAAATTTTTTAAGGAGCGTTTGGAATTATTAACGGAATTAATACGAAAATTGATTTTCCTAACTAGAAGAATTTTTGGTTATTAAGGAATTAAGAAAAGAGTTTGAAAGTAAGTCATTACGAACTTAATGAAAGAAATATTTTTGGCAGTTAAAATTGATAAGGTTTTTTAAAGCGTTTATCCGCCTGTAATTGAACTGTTCCAATGATTTCGCCGAGAATGGTAAGTAACTTGGTTAAATTCACTGAGTAGAAAGAAAATAATGGAGTCGAAAATCGCAAAAAAGGCAAGAAAGAATTAGCAGTATCAGATATTTTAAACAAGAACCTTAAACTTTCAGATAATTAACGGGAAAAATGAATTAATTCAAGCAATTTTTTTAATTTCGAAAGTTTTTAGGGTTGGGGACTTATATTCTATACGAATATAAAATTACCCACCCATTTATGTAATAAATGCTAGTGGGAATATATGAGATAGAATATAAAAATGGACTTGGGATAATATTGGGTAGCGAAATAGTTGTGTCGAAGTTTGTTTACAAACAAGACCAACTATGGAGCGTATTTATTATAATCCTTATCACCATTTTATATTTTCCTCTTTTCCTTAATATATTTTAAGTCTAATTTCAAAAACAATGTAGTGAATAATATTTAAAGAATATGTTAATAAATAAAAATACAATCCATAAAAAATATACCGATGAATGAAAGAATACGATTAAAGCCCTAGTGG